GTTTAGGGCTGTTGTACATAGGGTCGCTATGAGTCTCAAGCGACTTGATGCCACATAACAACAACAACAGCAAGGAGTTTTTGAAGCACCAGGGAGTTTGGAAACGATTTTGTATAGAGAGTTCTTTGGAAAACCAAAGCAGAAAATTAACTTCAATAAAGCTAATTCTGCTTTCCCAGAACACCTAATCAATGGGTAAGCAAACCAGTGTCGCTGAGTACCACTGAGCCAATCCTGAGGATGGCAATAAGATACAGCAGGATTCAGATCCATTGTTAAAGGGTCGCTATGAGTCATGGTCAACTAGAAGGTACCTAACAACAACAGCAATGGAACAGGACAGAATTGCTTCACTGGGTTTCCTCTATTGGAATCTTTACAGGAACAGATTGATAAGGCTTTTCTCCCATGGAGTTACTGCTAGGTTCACATCACAGACATTTTAGTCAGTAGCCCAGTGCTTAGCCATGCTCAACCAAAGCTCCTTAACCCAGCCCTACGTGGTGTTCTGCCATCCATACAATCACCACTATGTTTGAGCTCAGTGTGGCAGCCACGACAGCAAGCCATCTCACTGAAGGTCTTCCTTCTTCTGCAACCTCTCTACCAAGCATGATGTCCATCTCCAGAGGCTGGTTCCCCCTGATAACATGTTCAAAGCACATGGGATGAGCCTGGCCGGCATTCTTTCTATAAGGAGCATTCTGTGTGTACTTCCTCCAAGACAGATTTGTTTGTTCTTTTAGGCGGTCCAGCATATATTTTATATGTTGCCAGCAGCATAATTCAAAGGTGCTGGTTCTTCTCTGGCTTCTTTATTCCCCGTCCAGCTTTCTAATGCACAGAAGAACAGTGAGGACGCCATGGCTGGAGTCAGGCAGACCTTGGTCTTCGAAGTTGACGTCTTTGCATGTCAAAGCTCTCTGGCTGCAGATTTGCCCAAGACAAAAGGCCATTTGATTTCCTGACTGCTGTGTCCATGGATGTTGATGGTGGATCCAAGAAAACAAAATCCTTGACAGCTTTAGTCTTTTTTCTATTTACCCTGATGTTGCTTATTGGCTAGTTGTGAGGGGTTTTGCTTTTGTCCTTTTGAGGTATAAGCCATACTGGAGTCTTTGATCTTCATTGATCTATGCTTCAAGTTCTCAAGGCAGTATCATCTACATATTGCAGGTGGTTGATGAGTCATCCTTCAATCTTGATGCCTCGTTCTTCATTCTTCATAAATTGGCCTAAGACGAGTTAACGAAAGCCTTGGGCTTACAATATGCCCTCCTGTCCTCGCCTCAACCATGGATCTTGCTATCCTCCCAGAGACAGCAAGATCCTGCAGGAGTTCAGAGACAGAATCTCTTTGCTCCTGATGGAAGTCCTGGCCTTGAACTTCTACACACCTATATTTTTAACAAAGAAATCAGCACCAAGCTTATAGCACCCATTTCATACCAGTGAAGCAGATCACCTAGATTATTGATCTGATTAAAACCAAAGGTAGTATCAATAATCCCATTTAATTGGGTCAGAAGCTGTGACTCAGAGATGACATGTCACTGGCTTATGGTCACGTGGCACGTGAGTGCTGCCCAGGATTTCCAGCTTCATACAACTGCTCCAAAACCTGCCCTTTCCATGTCCCACAGGAACATGCTTCAAAAGGACACTGGGAAGACACCTTTCAACTTGTTGTGTTGACCTTGATCTGTGGCAACCCCATGAGTGCAGGGGAGAGCTCCTCCCAAGAGACTGTGACCTTTCAAAAGCAAATCTCTTCTGAGGTGCCTCTGAGGGCTTTTGAACCATTACATTTTCAGCATGCAGTCAAGCATTGGAATTTGTTTTGTTTGTGCCACACAGAAACTCCACAGCCAGTGAATGATTCTTATATGTTAATAATAATTCTTATACTGTCCTCAAGTCAATTCCAGCTTATGGTGTAGTCCCTTGGGCTTATCGTGTATACTCAGTTATGAGAAGAGATGGCCTCATCTTTCTCCTGGGAGGCAGCTACTGGATTTAAACCACCAACCTTTCAGTCAGCAGCCTAACACCAAACACGCTATACCACCAGGACTCTTATAGTTGCAATAAGGGAATTGGTTTAAGCTTCAACGTCAGCCAGGAAGGAATAGGAACACCAGTAAGAAAAAAAGCTTAGTAGAGACATTAAGCAGTGAGTTTCTACCAACAGGGTCTCATCTGCCTCACTTTGTCCAGAGTAGAACCTTGACCTCCCTGCCTCCCTGGGCACAGCCAGCACCCACCGCAGGCCCCGGGGTACCTCGCTAATGAGTTCAGATGCTTTTTTCCTCCCTTCAATCTCCAATGTTCCTGGAATGACACAGGCCACGCCACGCATGAAATTCAGGTCCGACCGATACAAGTTCTACAAGGAATGATGCAAAGAATCAGAAGAGAGAGCCTGTCAGAACAAGGAAGCATAGGGACACTGTGGGACTTGTGAAATATCACCCCCCGGGAGTGTCACCATCAGAACTCAAGGCCATGGCCGTCTCCAGGTATACTCCGCTTGGCTAACACATAAATGCTTTTAATACATCCTCGCAAGGGAGAGGAAAATGTAGGTCAGAGGAAAATACTGCTGTCACTCGCTTCAGAGTTATTGAGACGCAAGACAGCAGTGTATTTTAATGCAGGCTATAAAAAAAAATCAATGCCGGAGCCAAGTGTGTTTAGAAAGTCAGTCGTCTTGGGATACAGGTGCAAACGGTTTAACAGGTCTTCTGAAACAAAATCCAATGGCAGAGGGTGGCATTAATTAATCATGGTTAAGAAAGAGCTAATAAATGCATCTGGAACAGTCTGGCAAAGGCCTGAATCTGAGTGGGTGGGGGCAAGTGTTTGTACATGCATGATAGAGGCTGGCAGTTTAAGGGGTCCCCAAATTCACTGTGCTGTGCAGGGTCCCCTCCTCCGGCCACCAGGTGCCCCGGGGTGCAAGCTCTGCTCAGTGACAAACGGGCCCCCCGAGAAGCACCAGGCAGCTCCCTCATCAGGACTTTGTACAGCTGCTTGCCGGCTTCTGACAGTCATGTCACTCGGTAAATGCTGTGCACAGAAGCCAAAGCCAAGCTGACTGTGGGGACCCAGATCTGAGCACCATCACGCTACCAGCCAGCAAGTGAGCTGCGAGCAGCATTTGTCTCCAGACCTGGCCCGTTACAGCAAGTCTCATAGCACAAAGGCCCCTCATGCTGGGGGCAAAGGGGCACCACCGAGACTCGGGGGAGGAAGCCCCTCTCTCAATTCTGCTCTGTCTCCTGGCCTTCTGGGCCTGCCTGCTTTAGAAAACAGGTATAATAGGCTAAGAGTTACCTCACAGGAGCAGGGGGGCCTGAGATGTCTGGGGATACAGGAAGGATCAGAAACCTCTGGCCACCCCTCCCCACCCTCCTCCTAACATCCTTTCCTCTGAAGTCAATCCATTCCACAAGGACCTGCACTTCCTCTCCTGACACCTGTTACACAGTGATCCTCAGGAGAAGGGGGCAGAAGGAATCCCATCACTGAGACTTGAGTGTGTTGAACCATGAAGCTTACAGGCATCTCTGGAATATAGAGGGGAAACACCTACACAACCAGAGGCTGTTGAGTCAATTTTGACTTGTGTCACCTCCATGCATGTTGGGGTAGGACTGCTCACAGGATTTTCATGGCTGAGACCTTTCAGAAGCAGTTTGCCACGCCTTTCTTCTGAGGCATCTGTAGGTAGGTTCAAGCTGGTTAACTTTTATGTGTGTGTGTGTGTGTGTACCGTCAAATAAGATCTGACCGGTACAGGAGGAGATTGTCCCTCCTTCTCCAGCAAAGCTTCTGGTGGATTCGAACCATGCACCTCTTCTTGCCACTAGGCCACCAGAGCTCCCTTCTCCTTGGTTAGATTTTAACCACTTGTGGCACCCAAGAATTTCTGTCAAACACCATCTACATTCACATCCCAGTACCCACATTTCTCATTCATAACTGGGTGATCTTGGGCAAGCTAGTTAACATTGAGCCTTGAAATAATTTATCTGTGGTTATTATTGTTTGTTTTTGTTCAATAGTGACTCATAGCTGGCTCTCTAGGGGATTTTCAGATGCTGTAAATCACACTGGAGGAGACTGATTGCCCATCGTTCCTCCATGGGCCAGCTGGTGGATTTGAACTGTCTGCCTTTGGGTTGGCAATGCAACTCCTTAACCGCTAGACCACCAAAGCTCCCTTCAGATGAGATACTGCTTTGCCTAAATGCTGAAAACACATGGAACTACACAACAAATGTTTGCCAGTGTATGCTGCTGTCATTAAGGTACAGGCAAGACTTTCAAGACAATGCTTCCAAAGAAAAGTCCAGATCTAGAAGATTCCTCATCTCTGGGGTTCCCACGGAGAGCCAGATGCTTGTAGACCACTGCCCCACGGTCAAACTCAAGTGGAAAACAGTCCCGAGAGAGAAGCTGGCCTCCTTACCTCGCTCTGTAATTTGTGAGCTTTCTTGGCACAGCTGAGCCTCAGGTCCTCCACCAAGGAAGTGTACTGGGGGAGTGGGCATTTGTAGTCCTGGTCGCTGGCCAGGGTCTGAGCCTTCTTGGCATGTACCAAGGTGACCATGTCCAATGGCAGGTGGAACTGTGTCTTTGAGTGCTCAAAGCCTTTCCTGTAATTCACCTGGAGGGCAGACAAACCAGAGGTAGCCATTTCAAAGCCACTGTTGCTTCTGAACCACCAGGGAGTGATGCTGCAATGCAATTGTCCCAGGCCAGCCCAAGAGACCTAGGCCCCTTCTTTGCAGGGACTACAGGGTCTCAAAGCTATGTCCCACGACACTCACCATCCCCAGCTCCTGAAGGCCAGCTGCTGGCTGAACAAAGAAGGCCCGTGGTTCCCTCCCATCTCCTCCAAACCAATCCCACTGCCATCAGGTCGATTCCCAGTGGCCCCAGAGGATGGAACAGTACGGCCTCGTGGAGTTCCACGGCTGCACGGCCTCGCGGAGCTCCACGGCTGTAATCTTTAGGAGCAGACAGCCATCCTTCTCCTACAGAGCCGTTGGTGGGTTTGAACTGCTGACCTGCAGCCAGGTGCTTACTCACCATGCCACCAGGGCTCTGAATCTTCCGCCAGTTGGGGAAAATACAGACATTCAAGGGGCAGACGTAAGGTCAACGATTCCCGCAATTAAGACTCTATGTCACCTCATTTTTCAGAGCCTCCCTCCCCGCTGTCAAGCTGAGTTGGATTTTAGACACAGAGAGTCACCTCTTATGCCAGGTTGGGAAGAGTTCACTCAAAGATTCAGACAGATCTACTAGATCTAGGGGCCACAGGTGGGGGCGGTGGATGCCTGAAGAACCAGTCCTGAGACATGAGTATTCCTCCAGCACAACCCTGAGAGAAGAACAGGGGGTCCATTCCACGCCTGCAGCTCCACTCCCAGGTCTTTGAGAAGACACACCAAGGTCGGATGGGGATTTCTTGAAAATGAACTTCAAAACCACTGCTGCTGCCTCTTCCTCCTCCTCCTCCTCCTCCTCCTTCTCCTCCTCTTCCTCTTCCTCTTCCTCCTCCTCCTCCTCTCTTCTCATGACCTTTCAAAACTTTCCGTCACTTCTACTTCCTAACTCACAGTAACTCTCCTCTAACACCTGCCCACATTCCTGGATGAGCAAACCAGGACAGAAAGGGAAATAATGCTGGAAATGGGGACACTGAGGCAAAGAACAAAGTGGTAAAGAGCATGTGGTGTTAGGGGGAAAATACACGAGGTGGAGAGCTGACCCGTGCACTGGCTTTGCCGCTTTCTAACTGCCTGACATGAGGAGCTGAGTCTTTCCGAGTTTCAGACTCCTTGTTGGTGACCCAGGATAAATAATAAGATCAAGGTCCCAGAAAGGGTTAGACTGTTGAATGTGACATGGCATGGAAAGTGTTTAGTCCTCTGTGCCACGCTGGATGCACATGGATCTCATAGACCTCACCACCGTCGAGTTGGAATAGACTCATCGCTGACCCATCAGTGGGTTTTCAGAGGCTGTATATCACAGGAAGAGATGGCCTATCTTAGTGCCTGGAGACACTGGTGGATTCTAACATCCAGAGAGGGATTTGCATTTGGGATAGCCGTGAACTTCCAACAAACACACCACCAGAGCTCCCTATCCTTCTGATTATCCAACTCACGTGTGCAAGGGGACAGCATCTACATATGGGTACCAGCGGTTAAACTAATAAAACCTCACACTCATGGCCATAACGTTGATTCTGACTCCAAAGGACCCTCCACCAGGTTTCCAAGACTGCAAATCTTAATGAGAGAAGACTGCCCGTTGGGATTTCTCTTGTGACAGATCACAGGAAATGAGCTGTTTGCTGCAAACAAGAGACAGCTAGGGTCCCCCTGCAGAGGGACTGTTAATGCCTGTGAAATGCTTCCTTCCTGAGCTAAGCCTCAGGTTGACAATAGAGGCTTCATTTACAAGAGAATTCTCTTTATGATATGCTCCCCCTGATTCTCAATAAATACACAAAGATGTATGGCTTTTGGTGCTTCAGTTGGTTCAAACTGCTGACGCCCTGTTTTTGACACTTTCTGTTTTATCTCAAAAGTAAAAAAAAAAAAAAAGAACAGCTCCTGGATTTGAACCATTGGAGATGCAGTCTTTTCATTTAGTGGTGCAACATGTCTACGTGACTACACCACAGAGCTCCTAACAGTATCAAGGAGGTCACAAGCAAAGGTTGAAGCACACAGAGGCCAGCACAGGCAGGAAGATCCTAGAAATAAGTGCTGCAAGAAGCAGAAGAGGCCACTTAGCCAGGACAGCACACGTCCTGCTAAATTAGCCATCGATAACCAGTTTGAACAACTATAATCCTGGGGCATTCAGACCCATTTGTGGCCAGAAGTCTAAAATGTTCAAGCAAAGGTTTCCTTTTTACAAGATTTGCAATTAAGTCCACTTTCTCACTAATCACTCTGCAGATCTGTTGGCCAGATTCAGTCCACAGGCTCCCCTCTGTGGCCACTGGTCAAAGTCATGGAAGGCTTAGTCTGGGGTGGGGGGGGGTGGAAACTAACTAATAGATCAATTAGTCCAACCCCTCCCCACCAGGAGGAGGAAGAAGGTGCAGCCCAGAGCGGTGAAGTGACTTAACAACTTCACACTTAACAATGCAAGTTAGGGACAGAGACAACACCCATATTCCGAAGGGAGAGGAGAGGAGTCGCCTGTGTCCAGCGAGGGACTGCTCATCAGGACACACAGTTCCCTGTCATTGTCCCCGACTTACATCACTCTGCAGTGAGGTCGCACGCACGGAGTGCGCAAGGCTGATATCATCTTCCAAGCTCCGGGAGCCAAGCATCTGGCCTTTCATTTTCTCAAATGCCTCTTTGTATTTATACTAAAGGGAAAGAGAGCGAGAGAGTTACAGCTCAGGGACAAGGGACAGGAGATGGAAGAGGTGGGTATTGGGCGAAAATGTTTTGTTCTTTTGACAGTTAACTGGGAGAGTTGAAAGAAAGCGCGTGTGAGTCGTCAAAAGGTCTATTCTTTCATATGCAAGCCTCCCAATGACTAAAGGGCTCGCCTGTGAAATGGCAGGACGAGTTAGCACTTGGGCGGCCCAGGCAGGAAGAAGGTGGGTGCGCTGTGACTACGTGGAATGGCTTTGCAAGAGAACGTCTGGTGGGGAGTACATCACATCTGCCTGGGGTCCATGGTTATCGTTCAGCTGGGGACAAAGGATGTTTTTTACTGTCAGAAGTGTTCTTCCTCATTGGTCGCTAACTGAATTCCCTAACAATCATTTCAAAGAGGATAGGAAATTATCCACAGGCAAAAAAAAAAGAAGGCAGGTCTGGGTTGAGGTAAAAGCAGTAGCGATTGGTTGGTATTCACGGTGGTCCTTACATCACTGATGATTTCCCCAGAAGCTTTGGCCACCTGGAATGGAATGGCATCCAATCTCAGTTTATACCCGCCATCTCGAAGTTTGCTCCAGGATTCCCTGTAACGTGTCTGTTGGGAAGATGGTACAATTAAGGACTTTAGGTGACCCACTGATTTCCCAAACCCCACGTCCCCAAAGATGTAGGAGTGGTAGAGACAATTGTGAGGTACAATCCATCTTCATGCCCCCCCTCTTGGGGTGGAGCCACACAGACTGGCTGAAAACAAGGACTTTGAAGGCAGATCCTTCTAAAGTGTCCAAGGAGCAGGTAGTAATTTGCATAGCTTTTTATGGGACATTAAAAAAGTGTCAAAGACCTACCTATTCACGGGTACGGAGATTAGAAGGGAGGAGTTTAGAGCCCCGTTGTTTACTGGCATCTGCTATGACCACTAGATATTTCCACCCAGATTCTGTCCTCTCAATACTTTGGCTCCTCAGTGCTAAAGTGCAGACACTTTTCAGAATGTTGTGTGCCACCAAGTCAGAACTGACCCACAGCGGATCCTCCAGTGAGTTTTCAGAGAAAGGAAATTGCACAAAAGGAGAGATTGTCTGTCCTTCTACCATGGAGCAGCTCATGGATTTAGATGTTTCTTCCCACTTTATTTTCCATGCCTTGGCTCTTCTCTATTCTCCTCAACCCCCAAGGCAAGTTATAGTAGTGCTTCTAACCCAAAGGCAGCACCTCTCTTGAAGTTTGAATCCACCAGCTCCTCCAAGGGAGAAAAACTGGTCACCTCCCCTCGCATGATTTACAGCCTCTGAAAACCTACAGGAGGGTCAGCGATGAGTCGATCCTGACTCAACAGTGGTGAGTTTGACTCTTCTGCAGGACGGGCTACACAGTGCACGCACAGAAAAGCCAGGTGCCCTTGACTTGACTTTGACCCATGATGACCCCATGTGTGTCCTTGACTTGACTCTGATCCACGGTGACCTCACATGTGCCCTTGACTCTGACCTGTGGTGACCTCACATGTGTCATAGTGGAACTATGCCCCACAGGGGATTGGGTGGCTGGTTTTCCTCAGAAGTCGATTGTCAGGTCTTTCTTCCAAGGTACCTCTAGACAGACTTCAACCTCCCATCTTTCATTTAGCAACTGAGCATAGCTCCCTCCAACTTGTCACTTAGTGAATGAGCATGTTAAGAGTTTGCAACAACCCTGGGACTCCACAGTTTTGCAGGGTCCGTTTGAAAATGAAAAATGTAGCCCCTTTACTTAAAAATTGTGTTGTTGTTGCTGTTGTGTACTGTTGAGTCAGAACCAACTCATAGCTGACCCTCCAGCGGGTTTTCAGAGATAGTTAATCATACAGAAGGAGATTGCCCATCCTTCTCGTGCAGAACAGCTGGTGGAATTGAGCCACATACCTTTGGGTTGACAGTGCAATTCCTTACAACTAAGCCACCGGAGCTTCCTTTATATTTGTATTAATTACAGTGAAGCCTGGGAGAGCTGGAACTCAACAATGAACTTCCGTGTTCTTCTGGGTCTTACAAGATTCCCAGGCTGCACTGGGCATCCTTCTGCTTCTCTCTTGATGGAAAATATTTACATTTCCCCCCTCTGACAGCTTTCTATCTTATACAGACTCCAGCTTTTCTAGTGTTACTGTACAAACTCCAAGATGGCAAGAGCAGAGCAGTAAGCCAGGTGCAGGGTCACATGCCTGGGGAGCCGGTCTTGCTCCCCTCTATTTCAAACCAGTGTTCCTTCCTTCAGCCTCACCTCGCTCAGATTCATGGCGTTCAGCTTGGCCAGCAGGACTTCGGGCAGGTCAGCCGTCTGCGTGTAATGATGTTTTATGTTTTCTCCTTGTTCCCTGTACAGCCTCTGTGGTGGGAGAGAGGTGCGTGGGAGGTTAGACACAGAGCCTCTTTCTCTGGAAGCATCAGTCGCATTTGGAGAGAGACAGAGGTGCAGCAGGCAGCCGCCGCCACCCGGTGGAGACGCACACATAGCTCCCTGCCTGCTCCCGGGCCTCACAGCTGGCACAGTGACACGCTCTGCCTCCCTTCCCTCTGACGTCCCCTCCACTCAGAACATGACAGGCTGAAACTTTCCCCGCAGTTCACACTTCGCCGCCAGGGTCGAGCTGAGACGGGTGTCACATGAGATAAGGAGGTCTGGGAACATCTAGGGATTTTGTTGTTAACTAGGAGCTAGGAAAAGGCATCATGATTCAGGAAGCATGGGAGGGGATAGCTCTTCCACCAAGGATGTCTCACCACATTCACTTCAATTGCTTCAATATTTGCTCCCCCTTCTCTCAGTTGCAGGAGCCTTGGGTGGGTCTAGGGCCCTAGTCACCCCAAAGTTCCAGTCTGAACCTTCAATATCCTGACAGTCAGTAATGACACATGGACTTGGTATCAGCCAAATTCCTCGCCACAAGAGACAGTGTTTCTAAATCAGGGCTTTCCCATCCCACCAGGTAGCTGAAGAGTCCAGGTTTCTGCGCATCACAGCACTGCCCCCTAGAGTATAAGGAAGAAGCCAGTATCTATATTTTCTCCCCTATACACACACGTTTGCTTCTGACCATCTATGTGTTTCAAAATTCGATTTCATTCTGACGAATAGATTTCTTTTTTAATTCACAAATTCCTCGATCTATAACCTTGCAAATCTCTCCATCACACAGCCTAACAAGCCATTTCAGAAAGACTGTGGGGAAAAGGACAACAAGGAAAACTAGTAAAATTGGAAAGCAAGGGAGATAATTTTGAAACTGAAATCAGTCAAGGTTTTGTCATTTCTCTTATGGCAAACAGAATGATTTGCAAACATTTAAAAGTCATGTCGGGCCTGTCCAAAAGATGTGGAGGGTTTTTCTCAGCAGAATCAGCCTGATTGGGTCACTCCATATCTATTAAAAGTGAATTTAAATAGCATCTCGCCATTCAATTTAGTGACCATTGATGCCTGTTCATAGAACGAAGGGCCATATTTCAGTGTCATATTACAGAAGGCACATGGAAAACACAGTTCCAGACCCAATCAAAGTCAGACCCAAATCATTCCCAACATCTCTGGCAACTTCAGAGAATATAGTTTTCACATCTTGGGTTCCCAGAAGTCTGGCGCATGCCTTCGCTATTCCAATTACCCAGAGTTTCACTGAAAGTTCCAACTCTGAAAGGAAGACTGCAAAATAAAAGGCGAGAGGGAAAGGTGGGACCAGAGACAAATGCATGAGCCCTGCATCTAAATGGCACGGTATGAGCACACGTGGGGGCTGTGGGGTGGCGGAGCCCCACTTGGCATCCTAAGTGCATCCACACCCCATTTGCATCCTAATGAGGAAGCACCCCCTGCTAAGGTGCGCCTGTGCAGAAGACAAGGAGGCCTTCATCCTCAGCACAACAGAAGGAGCAGGCCCAGGGCCCCCTGCGCTTTCTGTCGCTGTGTTGAAAGAGGCGCCCACTCTTACAGTCATAATGTATATACATTATCACTTACATCCACGGCTTGGGTATAACTAATTCGGGCCTGGACCATCTCCGGAGTGTCTTTAATACTGGTAAACTTCAAAGCATCAGGATGCTGACGGTACTTCCTCTGTTGAGCAGAAAAAGATCAAAGCTGTGAATTTTGTGCTGCTCTTTTCATGCCATTTGAAAGAGGGGGAAAAAATCATAGGTTGCTTGAGATTAGAGTGAATTTGTGAACATAATTATTATTCTGCTTCCTCCATCTTTAGTTCCTCGGTGCCTTCAGGTTAATATTTGTTTCAATTTAAGAATAACCTCATGTCAATTAACATTAAAGTCTTTCTACCTGGTGTAAAGAAAACATCTAGAAATTAGGTTATGCCAGGGAAAGGCCCAAGCAGGCACACTCAGGCCAGGCTTCTTTCACAGGCTTCAAATGCTCTCTCTTGTTTGTTTACTTACCTTAGTTTGAGTCTTCTAAGCAAAAGAGTATTAAAGAGTATTCATAGCGACATTTATCAATTGAAGCTTTCTGTTTTCCTTCCACAAAAGGACTTGGCAGAGATTATCAGAGTCAAAATTCTCATATTTAACCGTGAGAGACCACATAGCACTCAGTCACTTTAGTGCCTGGCTCAGTGAACATGTAAGACAGTTCTTTAAAGTATTACTTTCCAAATTCTTTAATAATAATTACTGATCTGAGAGAGACCAACAGAACCCGAGCCTACGGCCCTTCGTCACCCTGAAAGCCTGGAACAGAACTCTTCCCACGGCTAAATTCCCAGTTAAGTGCTACTATAGAGATAGGTCTATGAATTCAACACTAACACCAACGAGACACATATTCCCTAGAGCAAGCAACCAGAGGAGGAGAAAAGGGCAGCCTTGGCCTTGATCTTGGGATAAAGCTCAGAACGCAGATGAAATGAAAAAGAGGGACAGATGGAAATGAGACCCACAGGAGGAAGTAGGACTAGTGCTGTTACATTCCCAGGATCACAGTCAATGTCATGAAACAAAAAATGTACAAACTGTTGAATGGAAAAATAATCTGGTCTATAAATTATATTTCAAATCATCAAAAAGTTAAAAATATACAATACCGTATTTAGAAAAAAATTGTGGTAGTATTAAAGGCATCCTTAACTTTGAAATATACTTTAAACCAATTTTTTAGTTTCATGCTGGAAAAAAGGCTGGTGAGCCAATCTTAAAGTGTTCTGAAGGCCATAAATCAGAGTGCATTTCCAGAAGACTAATATGGTTGCTATTTTAAAGGAGCCAAGGGGGGGGTGTGGTTTGTTTTTTTTTTTTTTCAATTAAATACTTATAACAGTTTCTCATTTACTTAGTTGGGTTTTTGTAGATTGTCAAAAAAATTCACTGTCATCAACTTGATCCTGATTTATAGTGACCTTCCCACAGGTTGTAATGGGAGGAGATTGTCTGTCTTTTTATGCAAGGCTGTCTTAAGGGACAACCATGAATATACAGTCAAATATGGCCCATCATTTATTTTTGTAAATAAAGTTTTATTGAGACATAGCCATATTCTTTTTTTTTTTTTTTTTAATGTATCTTCCATGTTTTAGAAGTCTGGCTGGTATAGTGATCAAAGTACTCAGTGGCTAGCCCAAAAGCAGGCAGTTAGCAATTTGAATCCACCATGGAAGAAGGAAGTGGCAATCTGATTCTAGAATGATGAAAACATTAGAAACCCTGTGTTGCAGTTCTACTCTGCCCTGTTGGGTTTCTGCTGGTTAAAATTCACTTGATACAATGGATTTGGGTTTTGGTATTTTTGTTTGGTTTTACATGACTGCTTTCACAGTACAAGGCAGAACTGAATAATTGCAACAGAGACCTCGGGCCTACGAAATTGACAATACTGCCATCTTGCCTCTTTACAGAAAAATCTGCCACCAGAACTTCATGGAGCACGGTTGTGCTCTAACACTCTGATCCGCATGAGCTCACCACGAGTTAGAACGGACTTAGTGTAACTGTGGGTTTTAAATGAAAATTCTGGTGGCTTAGTGGTCAATGGTTATGGTGCCAATCCAAAGGCATGGAGTTCAAATCCACCAGCTGCTCCAAGGGAGAAAGATGGGCAATCTCTCCCTGTGCTATGAACGGCCTCTGAAAAACTGCTGGAGGGTCAGCTATGGGTCAGTTCCCACTCAGTGGCGATGAGGGAGGGTTTTTTAAAGTTAATAATGTTGTGCATTAGTAATTTATCTCCTGTAATGATGCAACCACACTATTGCAAGATGTTAAAAATAGGTGAAGAGTGTGTGTGCATATGTGTGTGTCTTGGGGGTAACTATGGGAATTCCATATTTTTTATGTTATAGTTTTTCTTGTGAATGTGCATGTGTGTGTGTGTGTGTGTGTGTGTGTGTGTGTGTGTAGAGGGGAGGTAGCTCTATTTTCTGTGGTAAAACTCAGTATTTTCTGTGCCATTTTTCTATGTGCCAAAAATTTCTTTAAAAAAGAATATATACATCCATTCCACAGAAACGGGATTATCTCCAGACCACCACAATAAAACAAAGAGTGCAACAGGGTGAGTTAACAATATTTTAGCCTCCTGGTGCATTTCAAATGTCACGTTGACCCTACATTGTATCCTAATCCGAAGGTGGCACCTCTGATGGGATGTCTCTATCAGTGACTCCTCAGAGGAAAGGTGACAGTCTCCTCCCAGGCGATTGACAGCCCCAAAATCCTGATGGAGGGTCAGCTATGAGTTGGCTCCGAGGTGAGGGCAATGAGTGAGTAGACTATTAGGTGGGCAACACCTTTGTGCAAAAACCTTGAAATGTGGTTCAAATTACCAAAACGTCATCTAGAGACTAGTGATCACATACAATTGTCAAAAATGGCTTCCAGAGACTTGCTCAAGACAGGGTTGCAAAGACCTTCAACTTATGATCAATACAAGATTTAGGAAGTGCACTAAAAGGAGGTATGCCTAAATTTTTAAAAAATAAATAAAGTTCCAAAACAGAGTTGCTCCATGCCACTTGCCTAGAGCGTGAGGAAGGGGTTCTTTTCACTCACCGGATGCCCCAGGCTGAGGTCAGGGTGAGTACAGTGGACAGAAGGACACACCCCCACCCCACCCCAAGGCTGAGAGCCTGTCACGTGACAGACACCATGTGACCATCACAACTGCGGTGGTAACAAGCGAGAGGGGTAGAAAAAAAAATGTGCAGAAAGCCACCCACCCAAAGGCGCTCCTCAGGGTGCGTTCATCTTTTCATCATCTCCCCCTCACCCCGTGTTGGTTCATTAAAAAGGTAAAGTTGGTGGGTAGCAATTGAGCGCCGTTTGATTGTCATTATTATTCATAATCTCATTTGTCACCCACTTTGTTTTCGCCCCAGCTCCCCGGGCCCCCACTGGGGGTGTGTGTGGTATGGGGTTTCCCTCTAATTACCAGCCCCGAGCCGGGGCTGCGCGGGCCTTTCATGTGGCCGCGCGCCTTTCTCTCTCTCTCTCTGCGCCTTTTGAGTGGAAATTAGTCTAATTCTGCAGTGGGCGCAGCACGCGGGCGCCGTCGGGCGAGCTCACCTCGCTAATGAGTCGCGCTGCCTTCTTCGCCTGCTCGGCGGCCAGCGACCCGGTGGCGACCCAGCCTGCGCCTTTCATCCACCTGGCGTCGGCCCTGTACTGGTTCTGACAAAGGAGAGAGGGGAAGAAAGGCGGCCCATTGTCGTTGTGCACACGTTTCAAGGGCCATTAGCGGCCCCCCGACTTGGCCCGGGCGCCCGCTGAGCTGAATTAGACGCTGCTTTTGTCTTAACAGTTTGTGCGCACTCATAGGTAGGTCTTTGCAAAGTAAATTCATTTCCTAACACACACACACACACACACACACACACACACCCTGTAATTGGCACCCCCACTGCCCAGGGTGGCCCCTCGGGCAGCACCCAGGCCCTGGGGTGGGGCAAGAGGGGTGCTAGACCCATCTCGACCTCATTAAGGCTTCCCTGCTTCTACCCAGGAGCCTGGCAGCGCACTGTCTGCGGGCTGCGCTCCCCAAGCCCGGGTGGGGGACTGTGTGAGGGACTTCACAGCACACAGAGGGCGTCCTGCGGTGCCATTGCTGCCCAAGCTCCTCCCACCAAGGAGAGAGAGAGACTGCACATTCCCTTGCCCTAGTTCTCATGGAAAGCCATCTGAATGGCCAAGTCTGTCAAACTAACTGTCTGTCTGTCCTCAACAGCCCTACCCTAACAGATGAAGCTATAAAGTCCTCAACATGTAACCCGCTCGCTACACTGGCCTGCTTTTCAAGTTCACCCATCCTCTCACGCAAGTCAATGGAGTCATAGACAGACAGTGAGCAGGGAAGGCCTTAAAAAAAAATTTCTAGACTCTGTAAACTTTCATTAAAATGAATTCATAATAAAAACAAAACAGTAATAAAAGATATTTGTATCCTTAGAAACATTGTGTGGCGGCTGTGCTGTGTCATGTACGGTCTCGGTGAACCCATGAGGATGAGCTCATGAGCTCCAGATGCCATCGGCTTGGGGCTTGAAGAACCCTAGTGGCGCAATGGTTACATCACTCAGCTGCCAATAAAATGGTTCACACCCATCAGCTGTTCCTTGAGAAAAAGACATGGCAGTTGACTTTTAAAAACATTTACAGCTTTGGGGAGCTCTGGTGGCCTAGTGACAAGAAGCTGCCCTGCAATCCCAGAGGTGCACTGTTTGAATCCACCAGATGCTCTGCTGGAGGAGGGACAATCTCCTCCTGTACCAGTCAGATCCGATTTGACGATACACACACACACACACACACACATAATAATAAAAGAAAAAATTTTAAAAAAAAATAAAAATTTACAGCTCTGGAGACATGGGGCAGTTCTACTCTGTCCTGTAAGGTGGCTGTGAATTGGAATTGACATGCCAGCAACCAGTTTTGTCCCCTTCTTTGCCTGATCTCTTGAAACTCACTTCATAGTGACGAGATTTGGGAGCAGAACAACCTGACCTTTTGGATGGATCTAGAAGTTTCTTTGCTGAATATCCTTAAAGAGATTTTTATATGCTGTTTTTACCTTCATTTGCTTCCCTGTAGGATGAATAGGAAAGTACCCATTTGTTGTTGTGGGCTGCCATTGAGCTATCCCATGCTTACCTCAACCCCATTTGCAAGAAAATAGGATTGTTGTTACTTAAAAAAATTCTATGAGGCATAGTCACACAAAGGAACACTACTCAGCAGGCAGGAGCAATGATTTTGTAAATTATTACCTAACTTGAGAGAGACTGGAGAGCATTATGATGAGTGAACTAACTCAGTCCCACAAGGACAATTATTGTCTAAAACCATTATTGTAGAATGAGTATAAGGATCCAAGGGGGTGAGTGGAAACAGAGGGATGAGGATGTGTGGGGAGGGGGATTAATCACGGGGTTGTACAATTAGATGGGTCGGGGGTGAGGGAAATTATAAAAATCTGTTCTGGAAAACAAAGTATTCAAATTTTATAAATGAACTAGCATAAAGGTCTCATCTGTCTGGAAGTTCGAATCCACCAGTGATTCCAAAGGAGAAAGATGGGCAGTATACAACCCCAGCAACCCACTGGAGGGTCAGCTCTGAATTGGTTGCAGCTCGAAAGCAATGCAAAAGAAAAGATGAGAGCATATTTCGGGATAGGGAAAGTAGAGGACTAGAAATGGTACAAATAGAACATAATAAATTAGAATGCTGCCTCTATGAAAAATGTAACCAAAACTTCTGAGTAGTTTGTGTAGAAAATGTTAAATGGGAATCTAATTTGCTCTGCAGACTTGCATTTTAAACACGATCAAATATTTTCTTAATAAAATAAGAAGTAGGCCTAGTGGCAAGAAGCTGCACTGCAATCCCAGAGGCATGTGGTTCAAATCCACCAGATGCTCTGCTGCAGAAGGAGGGGGAATCTCCTCCTGTACCTCTCAGACCAATTTGACGGTACACACACAAAAAAGTAATAAAAAGAAAATAAGACGTCTTGGGGGGGGGAGAGAAAAGTGAAGACAGAAGGTACACAAAAGTGTCTGTGGAGGAAGGGGATTAGCATGCTGCCCATTCCAAAATTGGGGTCCTGTAATGGTGGGATGAGTCATAGAGTATTGACCTCTCATTAGAGACAGGCCAGTTAAAAGACTGTTATGATTATAAGATAGTGGTTTCCCTTGCAATAAAAGTAAACACATATGTACTTAATAATTCCATGAAGGAATTTCATGAATGAAGCTCCCTGCTTTTCTTTTAGGGAAGAATCTGAAAATGGGCGTGCTGTTGTTAGGACATGTCTGTGTCTGTGAACAATGGATCTGAACCTTGCCCCATTTTGCCCAGTCCCCATCTGATATGCTCAAGTCCATTGTTACAGTCACCGTGTCATTCCGTCTTGTTGAAGGTCTTCTTCTCTTTTGCTGACTCTACCTTTCTCCACATGATGTCTTTTTCCAAGGACTGGCACCTTCCTGACAACAGGTCCAAATTACTTGAGATGAAGTTTCACCATCCTTGTCTCTAAGGAGGACCTTATATCTGCACTTCTTCCAGATGTAAAGGGTACCCCAAGTACAATCGTACAGACAACGTATAAGCTGTTGTCTTGAGGGCCTTGGGAAAAGGTTTGCATCAAAGCCAGCACACACATGTACACACACAGGCATGCACACACAGAGCTTACGTCACTCTGCAAACCGTAAGCCTTCTTGGCCCATTCCACCCTCATGTCTGTAGGCAGAGCAGTGAAGTGATGGGATGCCGTCTTGTAGCCTATGTCCGTGGCTAAATGCTGGGCCTTGCGGGCATGCGCGAGGTGGATCATGTCCAGGGAGATGTGGTACTGGGACTTGGTGTCCTCGAATCCCTTCCTGTACTCCAGTTCGCTCTGCAGCTTGGACATTTGCAGTGAGTGGCTCATCTGGGAATCCCCCTGTACATCCTTGGCCCCGATGAGCTTCCCCTTGGTTCTCTCATAATCCTCCTTGTACTTCACCTAAATCAGAAGGAAAAAAGCGCAGATGCATTAGATTCTCCTAGAGGAATCGCTGTGCTTCAAACCACAGGCACAGGGCTCAAAACACACAACCAGGAGACAGAATCTGATTCGAATGAGTGTCATAAAAAGTTTCCCTCCTCTGAAGAGCTGATACGTTTCCTCTCCTCAAATTGTGGAATAAAACATGAAGACCCATTACCCCCCATTTTGCCTCAGCTTCCAGAAAGCTCAGCTCAGATCTGAATGCTCTGCCACAGTCAGAATCTTCTTCCAATTTCCTCATGAAATGGTACATTTCTGTATCTTCCTTGTGATTGCTCTTCCTGGGTTTATTTTTAATGACCTGCTGCTTGCCAGGGAAGCCACCTTAAAATCCTTTTTGGTGATGGCATGAGCATTAGAAGCAAGCATTTTGAAAGAATATAATCATGAAATGAAAATAAAAGGTAACCAAACTATAATAATTCTTTAAGAAGAAAAAAAAAGAGTTTAAGTTGGAGAACAACAGGAATACCCATTGAATATCTAGGGAGATGGGGACAAAGTTGACCCAGAAAAAAAGTAACAATTAAAAAACCCTTAAAACACAACTTTAGGCTAAAAGCAATGAGATCAGAGCAAAGAACAAAAGCAACCTGTACTGGACGCTGTAATATGACAATGACTTTCTTTAACATTAATTACCACTATATGGCCATCAAGAGAGTTGGTTTCAAGGATCTCATGCAATATTATTCAAAATGGGTGACCCTGGAGGACATTATGCTGAGTGAAGTATCTCAGTCACAAAAGGACAAATACTGCATAGGGCCACTGTTGTAAAACAGGACTAACATTGGGGTTGGGGGGAGACTGAGAAAGATGGGATAAATTATGGATACTGCATTGAAACAGATGAGGGAGAGAACTGTTTAAAAGGGATATGTGATTAGGTATTGTCATGACAGGAGTCCAGAATGAAGGCTGCACAGTGGAGTGGACTTGTGGGGAGGGACTGTATAACAATGAAAGAATTTTTCTTTCACTTTTCAAAGAGAAGAGTGTACTGGGGGAAGAGGGGTGGGTAGGGAGAGAAGTGCAACAATGAATGAATGGAAATCCAAAGTCTCTGTAAATTTTCATGAAAATTAATAATAATAAAAATATTTAAAAAAGAAGAGTTGGTTTCTATTGTTATCTTAGGCAGCAACAACAATCGCAGCATCAATAGCTGCTCCCATTTCTGGAGCCAGGTGCAGGTTAAACCCCTGCTACTCTAAGTACAGAGCGCTCTGATGACGTAGTTTATATCATGAGCTGTGCTGTTGACTGAAAGGTTGTGTCTCTGGAGGTTTGGACCCACAGTAACTTTGTGGGAGAGAGATAGGCTGTCAGCTCCTGTTTCAATTTAAGCCTCAGAAACCTGATAGTGGATTACTGTGCTTCTGAACTGACTTGAGGGCAGTGCGTGACTAAACGTTTCTCACCCCCACCCCCACCCGACTAATTCCCAGCTGGACTGGGAAATGTTTGTTGCAGCTGACAAGGAGATATGAAGCTTCTGTCAGAAGAGAGAAGAAAAAAAACTGCATGTAGTTCCCAGATTATGAATGAATTCCACTCCTAAATCCATCTTTAAATCTACTCTGGATATAAATTACAACAGTTAAGTATGGTTTGCATCTCTGGGTCTCAGTTTCTCTATGTTCTTGTTCTTATGTGCTGTCAAAGCCATTTTCAACTCATACTGACCTGACCCCATGTGAGGGGTAGAATTCTAACACGGAATTTCCGAGACTGTAATCTTTATTGAATTCAGTCTTTCCTCCCTCAAATCAGCTGGTAGATTTGAACTGCTGGCATTTTGGTTAGCATCAGAATGCTTAAAATTGAACAACAAAGGCTCTTTTAATTTATCCATAAATCACAGAGTTTAGATTGCTGTTAAATATTGTATAATCGTTATTAATAACAGTCAGTGTTCATTGGAACTAATGTGTGGCAAACAGTATACTGGACATCTGCATGATGATTTCATTTTAAGGTGGTCACTACCATCGCCGTTTACAGATTAGAATCCTGAAGCTCAGCTAGATTAAGAACTTGCTCTTGTGTTTCCCATATTAAAGCTGCAGCGTTCCATTTTTATATCAGTTGGGATTGACCCACCTCACTTGCCAGGTCCCTCTTGGCTTTGGCTGCCAGGAAGATCAGGGAGTCCAGACGCAGCTCAAACCCTTTTGCCTTCTGTTTCTCCCAGCTGCTCTTGTACAGTTTCTAGTGGAGTTGAGGGGAGGACAGATGATTATTAAGTGAGAGGGCTTCTCGGCACTCGGTACACAACCTTTCTTGTTCCTCTTCCCAGACTCTCGCCCACCTGAGTCTCTCCCTTGCTCCCCACATCTTCACTCTTGTTTCCACTTCCATATTTCAAGATCTTTTATTCGGAAAAGCTCCCCTCTTTTTTATATTAATCAATTCAGTCTGTTACTCAACCCAATTCTACTCTCCTTCCATTCATTATTCATGTGAGGACCTCAAAGACCAGGACAGTCCCTTCCCTAGCAGACATGATGGGTGAAAGTTGGGGCTGTGGGAGCAAACTGCATATACTTGCAAGCTATGTTGTTGTTAAGTGCCGTTGAGTTGTAGGCGACTCATAGTGAACCTATGAACGAAAGTCCTCAACACTTGTGTGACTTTCATCCGTTCTTCAGGTTCATAGGGTTTCTGGAGGCAAGCTATTATGGAATTGGATACCACTCCTGCTTCCAAGCATTTTTTAATTGGGGAGCTCCACCAAACACTGTCCACCATGGGTAACCATTATTGCACTTGACACATCAGTGTCACAGTGTTCAGCATCACAGCAACCACGAGTTACCTCTGTATGGTAAGGGAACACACCAGGGCTATACGACCTAGAAGAATGTTTGACCAAAAACAATGAAAAACAGGCCTGAGGGCCGCAGATTAGAGTCAACCACCTTAGGCTTGGTGGCATCGCTTTCAGTCCACTAGGCCAACTGATCCCTCTCTTGCAAGCTATATACATCAGTATATATTCCCTGATGCCTCCCAACAACTCAGTGAAGAAAAAACTAGTATTATATTCATAATACCCATAAGAAAACACAAGGCAGAGAAATTGCCTGAGATAACACTTAGGAAGGAGCCGCGCCAAGGAACAAAGACAGGCAACTTAGAGCTAAAATCTGTGCTTCTGCCCACTCCCTTATACCCCGAATTATATGCCATTTCAACTCTAGAATCACTACTTCCTGACCATGATCTATGAAGTGACTCAGGTCCTCAACCAGCTAATTCCCACAGAAGGTTGTGGCCCTTCCCTGTAAACCACGGATAATGAATAAAGTTGGCTGAGGGCTGACGTGCTTCAGCAGTGTGATTGGAGGGTTTAATTGAGCAGGTGGCTATCCACACGGAGAGGCAGACACCGCAGCCCCCACTCCCTCTTCTGTACCTCACTGAGGTTTGCAGCATTGGCTCGGGCCCGTAAGAACAGAGGCTCGTCCTTGCTGATGGTGTACTGATGGACAGACTGTGCATTTCCTGCCTTGTAGGCCACCTGTTGGGAGAGGGGATAGCGTTAGGAGTAGGTAGAATGGATCAGGGAAGGAGGATGGAGTGGCTTTACTCCGGCATCTTTAAGTTGCCTTCACTTTTTTTCTGACTTGCATGAGAAGTCCATTATAAAATCCGTCAGATCCAACATCGAGAGTCCACTTGGGGGCAGTAGAGCGGATCAGAGAAGCAGCAGCAGCGAGGAGCTGGAAGACCAGTAAAGCAACCTAAAAACCCCTTCAGAGCTTACCCTTCTTGCTTCCTTTCCTTCAAGGTGGATTTTCACTTCCCCAAGCTGGTCCCATCTACACTGTCCACCACCATATCAGAGACTGCATGATAGAATGCTGTGCAAACATCCTATACAAACATCTTTTTATGGGGGGGGAGGAACATAAACAGCAACTATACACATAGACCTTACCTGGTAGAATTCACAGAACAAGTCACCTATACACATGGAAAGAGACAGTGAAGACATTCAATAGCGTCATTCATAACAAGGCTAGGGACAGCTGGGGAATACACTGTCAATTCAATACATAAGTTCAAACTGAAGTTGAAGAAAGTTGAAACAAGTCCAGGGGAAACAAAACAGGACTTTGAGTATATCCCACCTGAATTTGGAGACTGAAGAACAGTGAACACTAGTAACCAAAGACCAGATGAATGATGGGATGGCATCAAGGATATGTGAACACAGCAAAAGGCATTGGAAAGACAGGAGCAAAAGGAAAGACCAAGATGAATACAAGAAGAGAATCTGAAATTTGATCTTAAACATGGAGAAGACAAAGCAAAAGGGAGAAATTAAGCTGGAGAGCTGAACAGAATATTCCAAAGGGCAGGTAAAGAAGACAAAGCAAAATGTACTAATAACACTTGAAAAGACCTGGGGTTAGAAAGCCAGCAGGGAAGAATGCACTCAGTTGTCTCTCAAAATGGAAAAAACTGAAGAACAAGTTCAAGTTGCAATACCGAAGGGCTCTGTGGGAAAAATGTTTACTGACACAAGAAACATTTACAAAAAGAGGAAAAGAAGACACCATCTCTATGCCAAAACCAGTTCTTCAACACGTAACCATTTCAGGAAGTAGCATATGATCAAGAATCAACGGTACTGACGGAAGACATCCAGGCTGTACACAAGGCATTCACAGAACTAAACTCAACAGAAAATTCATTGCCATGGAGACAGAATCGACTCCTAACTCGCCTTCTGGTGAGTTTTCAGGAAGCTGTAGATCGCATGGGAAGAGAATGCCCACCTTTCTCTCAAGGTGCTTGACCCTGTCGTGGTATTTTCATTTGTTTGAGACATAGGTGAAAGTTGTTAAATGAAGAAGGAAAACCAAAGAAGAATTGGTGGCTTTGAATTGTGATGTTGGCCAAGAATCCTGAGTATACCACCACCTGCCGGATGAACCAAAGCTCTAGACTGTCTAGACTGGAAGAAGTCTAGAGTGCTCCCTAGAAGCAAAGATAGTGAAATCTTGTCTCACATACTTCGGGTGCATTATCAGGAAGCGCCAGTCTTTGGAAAAAGATCTTATAGTTGGAGAAGTAGAGGGTCAATCCAAAATCTCTGTAAATGTTAATTAAATTTAATAAAGTAAAATAAAAAAAAGAAAAGAGAGGAAGACTCTCGATGGGAAGAACCGGAACAGCCGTCGCAACAATGGCCGGCGTACAGCAGAGATTGTGAGGGTGGCGTGGACAGGAAGCTGTCCCTTCTGCTGTACACAGGGCCGCTGTGAGTCAGGGCTGCCTCAGAGACACCTAACAACACGACAGCAGCAGCATGACACCTGCTCGGCACAGGCCCACAGCAAGTCGGAGCTGAGCAGGATTGGGGGAACCAGACAAAGCACCTTATTGTTCTGGCTCCCATATTCGAGCTCATCAAGTAGGCATGACCTACACGCATCCCACAGGCAAATGGGCTCCTCCTCTGAGACAGTCTTCTATTGGCTCCAGAAATGTGGTGTCCTTGGTAATAAACAGAAGGAGAATGAAGGAGCCAGAGAGTGTGAAAGTAGGACTAGAATAGTCAGTGTTGCATCCGTCCCTAACAACGAAGGCGTAAGATAGTGAGGAGGTATCCGATTCCCAGCCCCAGCCTGGAAGCCTGGTCCAGCCTATTTAAAGAGGGGCTCTGTGGTTCCTTGGTCGTGCCTGGGCTGTTGTTCCCCCAGCAGCACCTGCTGTTGTCTGCAGAGGTTCCCAGGCCCATGACACAGCAGCTTGGTGGAGAAAGGGCAGCTTAGGACTCACCTCGCTCTGCAGCTCCTGGCTTTTCTTGGCATGCTCCATCTGGGAGCTGTCCGCCACACTGGTGAACTTCAGCTCGTCCACTTTCTGCCTGTAGTTTTTCTGTTTACAAAGCAAAGGGACCCATGGTGTGAGGACTGGTTGACCCACCCCCCTACACACACACACACACACACACACAAACACACACACAGACACACACACTGAGGTGCACACACAAGCACACTCTTCCTGTGGTCCAACCGTGTCCTTGAGGGGACATTCCAGCTGGTCTGCAGCTTAACCACAACCACACAACCCCAAAACAGCCTATCTGAAGAACTTGCTTTAGTAGCTGTTACTAACCCAGCCAAACCAAGGCCACTGCCAGGAAGTCCAGTGCGACTCATAGAGCCCCACAGGACAGAGTTGTACAGCACACAGGCATGTGGTTGTACACAGTTTCCAAGGCTGTAATTGTAATGGGAGGAGACTGCCTCACTTTTCTTGCTTGGAGCAGTCCATGGATTCAAACCCCTGCACTTTCAATTAGCAGCCGTACGTTTAACCTGCTACACTACCAGGGCTCCTTTGCTATAACTAATGAAGTTTTAATTTTTTTTTTCTTTTATCTCAGGAAATTCTGTTATTTCATTGTGCCTATTTTTTAAATTTTTTTATTATTAATTTCAATGAAAATTTACAGAGACTTGGGATTTCCATTCATTCATTGTTGCACTTTTCTCATTGTGCCTATTTTCTCATTCTAGATCTGACACAGGAGAATGAAGGGGAAATGGTGAATTCAAAGAAGTTTGGCCTTTACAGTCATGAAGACCGAAGTTCAAATCTCATCTCTATTTTTTCTAGCTCCACTCGGCGCAGGTCATGACTTTAGTTGTTCTTGCTTCCCTTGTAGAATGGAAACAACAGTAGACATTCCTGTGCTCTGGGGCCAAGCAGAGACTTGAGAGCTAGGCTTTACATGTGGGAAAAGTTCTCGAGAAAGACCCTGGTGGTGCAGTGATTAAGCACCCATCTTCTAACCAAGAGGTCCACAGTCTGAACCCCCCAGCTGCTCTGTGAAAGAAAAGACGTTCTGCTCCCACGTATGTCCTAGCCGAGGACGATGCATGGGACAATTTTATTGGACTCTGTATGTTCACTTATGAGTCAGAATCAATTAGAGAGCACGCGAAGTCCCTGGTACAGAGGAAGGTGTTCAGTACGTGAGCATCGCCACTCCTCACGGTGCTGTGATCAGAGAGGAACATTTTTAGGGTTAAGGTTGGGGTAGAAATTCACCCTCACAGTTGGAGTTTCCCAGATCCCGGAGCTCTTATCCTCATTGTGTTCCCTCTTTTTCTCACAAGTACAAACAAAACGGCAAAAGTCCCAACGTGTTAACTCTGTCTGTATGAACACTTCTCATCCTTCTCAGCGGTTAGATGCTCGGCTTGTCCACTGGCACTTCCAAAGCTCCTGGGGAAAGTCACCATGAAGATGGCTGGCTGAAGCAAGGGCTTCACGTGGATGGGAGGTCAGAGATGAGCTCAGAGACTTGGTTCTAATGGCTGACAACCCCCACCAACTATCACTCAGTTAGGCCAAAGTAATGACTGGAAACTCCAAACTTCCTCCCTATAGGGAAAAAAATTCTAGGGGAAAGATCCCAGAGAGATTCATTTTCCTTCTTAGTCTCGCTGTGCCAAATGGAGTAAAAGCCTCACCACATAATTGAAGGCAGTTTCATCGCTCTCCTCTGTAGGAAATTCCCAGATGCCACAGCTCTTGCATCGATCAAGCCATAAGCATGTAATGAAAAGCAAGAATCCAGCCCTTACTGGGTGCCAGTTATAAATATAAAAACAAACCAGAAAAAGCAGGCAAAGGAATCCACAAGGATCTTAAGAATCAATAGGTGGTTTGGGGGGTAAAGAATTCAACTTTCTAGAAAGAATTTGGTCTTTGCTCTTGGTTCTTAAGAGATCATCTCAAAAATGTTGACATTTTAAGCAAAGTCTCATAGGAAAAACAAGCTTATAGGATGAATAGTCTACATGAAATGCAGCCTCTTCCTCCCTGAGACCAGAAGGACTACATAGCCTCACCTCTGACCATTCTGATCAGAGTGACAATAGATCATCCCAACAGAAGAAAAGAATATGGAACAGGACTTAAATGCTTCAGAAAGTTCAGCCTTACTGAATCCATTAAGACTAGAAGAATCCCTAAGATTACTGTCCTGAGATACTCTTTAAACCTTGAACCAAAACAGTCTCCTGAGATCATTGTTTTCATATAAAATTGGTTGATACACAAAAGAAAGGAAATGATCTACGAGTATGACTACCCATTAAAAAACCGTGTGTCTGAGAGCACAGGTCACAATTACGCTAACGAACAGACGAGGATGTAAGGGGACGAGGCAGCCTGAGGACTGGCTGTGGAACAGCTGGAATACAATTAAAGAGAATGAACGTTAACACATGGCGGAAAGGGTACCTACCTACTAACATCACTGTACAATGTGTGTAGAAATTGTCAAATTGGAACCCCTCATTTTCTGTGTAAACTTTCACTCAAAACATGATAAATTGTTATTTTGTAAATTGAGATGAAAAAAGTAAAACCTTGAGCATTGTCTCAATGATTGCAGTATCGTTGATGAGGACTCCAGATGACATCTAAGTGTTTTGATTCATGCAGGATGGGGGGTGGGTGGCCACGCAAATAAGTCACACTGCATCATATCAGCGAAGCTAGGGGCAGAGGCACACAGCAGCCATGTCCACTGAATGAAGTCCCGGTCAAGATTCTGGACAAGGATGAGCTCTCTGGAATCCCGAGGGGCAGATGTCACCCCTCAGTCATAGCCACTGGCTCAAAAGGTGTGGGTGCTGGGACACCACGCTTGCAGCTGGTGTTAGAAGTTTTAGGTTCACTTAGCAGCCTGTGCCCTTTGTCCTGTGGGGACTGGCCTGGTCCTGACTGCTTATCTTTAGAGGAGGAAGCACTGTGTACACATGTCAATAACTGTATTTATTTTAAAAAAAAATGAATGTATTTGAATTTATCAAACTATAGTAACACAAGAAGCAAGAGAGAAACTGACATCGGAATCAGTTGTCTGGGTTCCCATCAGAGCTCTAGAGTGTGTGGCCCAACAGCAAGACGAGCGAGGCACTGATTCCCTCACTGGGTTTCTGTCGGTTTCAAAGATGCTAAAAACCAAAACAGAGCCCTCAAAGGGAGCGCTGGTGGTCACAGTCTGTAGAGAGCTGCATGTTAACCCAAAAGCTGCACCTCAGGTTCAAATCCACCAGTCGGTCTCAAAGAAGCAGTCATAATAATACCAACAAGGCAATTGCTTCTCTATTCGTCATCTAAACACTCTTTGAGAGAGCCACGCCTGTGATAGCAAAATAAGAAGACATTTCAAACTGAGCTTTCGGGCTGCATCACAAAATCGTCTCCTGAGACAGTGGACACAGACACCTTGCGTACAGATCCCAGCTTTGCTGCTCACCTGCTGGTCACCTGAGAGCCACGCTCACTTTCCTCATGTTAAAATGGGACTATGAACAGGATAGGACCAGGACTGGGATTCTTGTGAGGAATACAGGAGCAATGTGTGTGTAATACACTTATACATAAAACATTTCCATCAACGACAGCAATGATCACATCATTATTGCCCATCAATAAGTGGTCACTATTATTATCATCAGCAAGAGAGATTCTGGCTCAGCCTCCCTGGCCCCAGGACAACAATCCCCTTTGAAGGTGCCAAGCAGAGTTCTTGATAAAGCCAGACTGCTAAATGAAATGCCCTTCCAAAGTCCTCCTCGGGCTGCTGCCAAATCAGTTTGATTAGATATTTCTCTCACAGAGAAGTACAGGCATAAAGTAGGAAGGAATCTTCGTATTGTAACCAACCTTCTTGCTTTTATGTGGAAGAAGAAACACACTGATTAAGTAACTTGGCCAAAGTATCTGGTGATTTTGTGGCATGACCACAGTGAGAAGGCTGACTACCAAATACGGGACTCTCTGATCAAAGAGACCATGTGCTCCTTACACAAGGACGCATTTCCCCCACGTGTTCATTGTCTGATTAGTAAACCAGTTGCCAAATTCCAACTCCTGGTGGCCCCAGCAGTGTCTACGTAAAAGTGCGCTCCACGGAATTTTCAATGGCTGATTTAAAAAAAAAGGGGAGGGGGGCAAATCACCAGGCTTTTCTCCCAAAGTGCCTCTGGCTGGACTTGATCTTCCAAACTTGCAGTTAGCATCCAAGCCAAATAACTATTCACACCATCAGGGATTCCAGTTGTATCCTTTTGTTGGCATGTGCTTTGAGTTGATTCCAATTCCTGCTGGCCGCCCCCACTTCCCCCAAATGACAGAGCAGAACCACCCCAAGAGGGTCTTAGGCTGTAGTCTTTATGTAAACATCACTGGGTCTTTTCCTTGAGCCACAAAAGGTGGGTTCAAACTGCCCACCTTTCCAATAGCAACAAAGTGCTTGTTAGTTGTACCACTGGGCTGTTTACTATAAACTTTTAAATGACATTATTCTTTGGATACAACTGTACTTCAAGTGTTTTTTCAAACACCACCTTGGAAGTCCACAGAAGGTTAGTTCATGGTATGCTAATGGTGTGAAATGAAGGAGAACCCTTGTATTAATCCCACCCAAATAAACACAGACAGCCCGAGTAAGGGCAGTCACAAGAAAAGATCACACGCAGTGACTCAGGGGCTGAGAATACTAGAGGTCAGGTGCTTGGGCTCCAGTTACCTCGCTGACCAGCTGTCCAGCCTTCTTGGCTTGTTCGAGATTGAGACTTCCTTCTGTCAGCCACCCGACCCCCTTCATCCAGACCAGATCCGCCTTGTACTGCAGCTGCAAGGAAAAAACACCCACCAAACTAGAAGCAAATGCACTGATAACAAAGAAGGCAAGGTGGAGTAAGGGAACTCTCCTTGGGGGGTGCAGCCTTGGACCCACCTTGCCATCAGCCACATTCTACCTTAGGACTGAGACACCATACATGTATTAAAAATAGGACTTTTCACACTGTTTGACCAAGGACCTTCTTTGCCAACCTGCTACATCCCTAAGATTGAGTGACCATTTTCCCATCTTCCTCCCTTTTCTTTATCACGATTGCCAATACACCTTCGCTATTACAATATCTCCTCCAACATCTACTCTCCAGTCTCTCAACTGTGTGGATCTCTCTCTCTCTCTCTACCTCCCCAATGGTTCTTTCTGGGCCCGGCACATTCCCCAGCCATTGCTCCAAGTGTTCTTTAGGAAAACCAAGGGATCATAAAGAAGTGTCTACCTCCCCCATTCAGTGACATAACTGGCTCAAGCAGAAGTCAACAATCTTATTGATCATGTCACTACATCCAATGACAAGATCTGCATGGTGAAAAGGGGTGGTGAGAGGACCCACCTCACTCTGCAGCCCGTAGGCTTTCTTGGCCCAGAGAGTCTTCATGTCTTCCGGCAGCACCGTGAACTTGTGCAGCTTCTTCCTGTAGTCCAGGTCACTGGCGAGGGCCTGGGCCTTCTTAGCATGCTTGATGTTGACCATATCCATGGGTAGGTGAAAGTGGGTCTTACTCTCTTCAAAACCTTTCTTGTATTCAACCTTGAATGTACAAAAACAAGGCCCATTAGTTAAAACCTGTTTCTTATAGGGATGGTATAAAAAACAAAAGCAAGTATGCATTAGAGAGCTGGACAATGACCAGGGATGATAGAAGGAGAGTCGGTGCCTTTGAGCTGTGGTGCTGGAAAAGAGTGTTGAATATACTGTTCTGCTGGGAGAACAAACAGGTTCATCCTGGAGAGGGTGAGATCAGGCTGCTCCTTGGAGGCAAGGATTCTGAAGCTTCGTCTGACATACTTTGGGCATGTTGCAAGGCGAGATCAGTCCTTGGAAAGGGATGTCATGCTTGGGAGAGTGGAGGGACAGCACAGGAGGGGAAGACCCTTGATGACATGGATTGATTCAGTCACTGGTGTATTGGAGATAGGTGTGTCAGAGACAATAAGATTGGCAAGGGATAGAGCAGGGTTTAGGGCTGTTGTGCATAGGGTCGCTGTGAGCTGCAGGCAACTCGATGGCATGTAACAACAACAACAACAACAGCATCCCCGTGTTAGTGAGGACCTGGCAGGTGGACAAGGCCACCCACCTTCTGGAAAGGCGTGACCTGATTGATGGCCCTGTAAGGCAGCATTGCTGGGAACTGAGCTCCCCAGCCACATCGTACCTGGAAGGCGGGCCCCTCTCTAACCTTGATCTTTTTTGTGTGGCTGCTACAGAACACTCTATCATTGGTGCCTGGAAAAGCTTTGAGATGCCTAAGAGCAAAGTTTGGGCTCCAGAGCAAGAGAAGTCTGAGTTCAAACTTGGACATGTCTTTTACAAGCCGGGTGACAACTGGAAGGTTATGTTACCATCTGAGAACTCGTGTTTCCTCGGAAGACTGTAGTGATAAATACATGAAACAGTAGTTCAAGTGTCCTTAGTCCAAAGACTGACACAGCAAAGTGGTAAGAAGCTGCACTCCAATCCCAAAGGTACATAATTCGAATCCACCAGCTGCTCTGAGAAAGAAGGATGAGTAATCTCCTCCTATGTGATTTGCTGCCTCTGAAAAGCCACTGGAAGGTCAACTATGAGTCGGTTCTGACTTGATGGCACCCAACCACCACAACAGACCACGATCCTAGCATGGCAGAGATTTTTATTATGGGGCGGGATAGGACCAGGTTCTACTCTGCTGTTCATAGGGTCATTACGACTCCTAGTCAACCTGCAGGCACCTAACACACACAGCTATGAGAGTGGCAATGATAGCTCTGGTGGTGATGGCGGTAATGAAGGTAATTACAGTTTGTCACCATATGATGGTGACAGTGACAATGATGATTGGTGGTGGTGATGGCGGTAATGAAGGTAATTACAGTTTGTCACCATATGATGGTGACAGTGACAATGATGATGATAATTACGGGTATGACAATGAAGCAGTGACGCTGTTGGTGATGATGGTGGTGATCGTATTGATGCTACAATAGAAAGAGTTCAAAGCCTGTAAGAGTTTAGGGCCACCCTGTCCCTCCATCACTACAACCAACTACCAACTGACTCTGAGCGGGACACAATCTTTGCGGCCTCATTGCTCCAAACTCTCAGGATTTCCTTACGCTTTATGACCGTGTGGTTCATGAGGCTTCTGGAGACAAATCCAAAATGGCAAGTTAGAAGCAACTGTCATATTTACTCAAGCCAGGGCTCCTAACGGCTCATCAGGTAATCACTTCAACAGCAGCAGCACATGCCAGCCCTCATGCCCCCAGCTTGGAGCAGGTAATTGTAAGACAGAAACGCAATACCGATGTACCCAACCATGCTGCCTTTTCAGCTCTGGCACAGAAAAGTGAGTCAGAAACCAGGTCTCTCCCTGTACCTTCTCCAGAGACTTTTAGGAAGGGACATTTACATTTCCCAAGGCTAATCTCTAACTCTTAGAGCTAAATCATCTTGGTTTTCTGAAATGTGGATGGCCCTTGTTGTTCGTTGACTATTTTGACTACCGCTCATGAAAACGACCACAATAAACAGGATGCTTCCTGATTAACTTTCCCAGTTGAGTTAAGCTCCATCAGGGAAGAACCTGCTATGTGTTTTTCATTCTGCAAGGCTCCAGGGTCTTGCTCATGATACTTGTTCATGAAATGAACAGATGTGGTCAAACACCTTTGTAGCTTGACAAGGAGATGCCAGAGACACCCTGAGGACCACACACCTCATCTATTTTAAAAGAGTGGTTATCTTTGACAAAACAAAGAAACTGGAAAGCTATTCATACAAGCCCACAAAGAAAGAGAGTTTGGGTGAGTGGAAGTTAGTGAAAAGGTAAGAGTCCCAAGTAAAGTAGGCCCAGGAAAAAACTTCTAAAATAACACAAGGAAGGAGCAGGCAAACAGGAGAGAGCTTACCTCACTGCTCATCTTGGCAACCTGCAGGGAGTGCAGGATCCTGGAGTCTGTGGTCCCCATGGCTCTGCCTTTTGTCTTTTCGTATTCTTCTTTGTATTTAATCTTGAGAGAAAGAAGAAAGTCAGCCGTGGGTGAGAGAAACTTTGCCATCTAAGGGCCTCTGGTTTTAACAAGTGCAAAAAGACACGATTCTGAAAAGACATCTCCCAGTCTTCCTTGAATCCGGAAGATTAAAGTATGCTGATGTTTACAATGCTAACAGTCATTATTTTTTATTTTTTTTTTTTTTACTGCAGGACCACTGACATGTTATTGAAACCATTGTTTATGCATTTCTGAGTTAATGAGAGAAAACCTACATTGCTAGCCAGCTCCCCGGAGGCCTTGGCACCCAGCAGAGATATAGCATCCAGCTTCATCTCAAAGCCTTTCCCTTTTGTCTTCTGCCAGTCTTCTTTGTACTTAACCTGACAAATAAAAGCACAGGTGAATAGAAGTTGCTATCTGTTATTTGTGCCAAAAGTCTAAGAGAATATACTTAAAAAAAAAAAGTTAGTCTCTTCATCTGTTTGCACAATGGAACTTTGGCTCTTGTTAGTAAAATGATCATAATAATTATTGATTCCTTAGCTGGAGATCCACACAGGCCAGTGGTTGTAGAACCAAAGAGAAGAGCGGCTTGCTCATCTTAGTGCTATGGTTTTCTAATCATCTGTTGTTGTTGTTGTTGTTGGTGGTGGTGGTGGTGGTGGTGGTGGTGGTGTTCTTATGTGCCGTTGAGTCGCCTGTGACTCATAGCGACCGTATATACAACAGCCCTAAACTCTGCCCTATCCTGTGCCAATCTCACCATCTCCGACACACCTACCCCCCATTACCCCAGTCACTGAATAAAAAATATGGAACACTTCATGAATTTGCATGTCATCTAGTAGTGGGCAAATCACGTCATCTCTTTGGGCCTCTGTTTACCAGCTGGATATCATTTTTCTCTACCTAATATGAGAATAAGAGAGTACTGGTGGCGTAGTGGTAAGAAGTTTAAGCTGTGACCTTAATGCATGTGGTTCAAATCCACCAGCTACTCCACAGGAGAAAAATGGGCAATCACTGAAAACCTGCTGGAGGGGCAGCTCTGGGCCAGGTCCAAACCCATAGTAATGTGAGAGCCAACTGGATCCAGCATCTAAAGCCGATTCTAAAGTGTGTGATACAGTCATGAGGTTCTGATATCATTGTGGTCATAATAAAACAAACAAAAAGCCACAAACCAGTTCCAGTTGAATCATTTCTGACTTACGATGATCCCAAGTGATTTAGAGTAGGCATGTAAGAGAGGAATAGGTACATTCCATTTTTCAATTCCCCATAAGAGAAAGAATTATTCCTTATTCCTCACTTAACTGCGAGACATTTTGCATTTATGGTCATGGTAAAATATCGACTGCCCAACTCTTTTGTGCATTAGTGACCTAAGTCTGGCATGATTCAATGCCAAGGTGCCAGGTGAAAGTAAACACTAGCTGTGATGGTCAAGGTTGCGTGTCAACTTGGCTGGACCAAGCTCTCAGTGGTTTAGCAGCTATGTGATGATGCCAGTTATAATGATGTTGTCTTCTCCCATCCGTGATATAATGTGCTCAGCCTTCATTTTCACATAATTCAGATTTTCTCAGAACAATACAGTCTTTGGAACTTAACCAAGTCAGTAAGTTAGGAGTGGTTGTGCTTCGATGCGGGGAGTGCCTGGCATAGGACCTAGGACCTACTGTCATCAAGGGTTTTCCAACTCATAGTGACACTGTATGACTGAGTAGAACTCTGGCCTACAGAGTTTCAGAGACTGTGATCATAACAGGAATAGATCACCTCTAGGTCCCTTTCTACATACAGGGGTGGACTGTAACCACCAAACTTTCTTAGAATGTGGGTGCTTAACTCACCACACCACTAAGCCTCCTTCTGGCATCAAACAAGACATTTTAAAAAATTCTTTTAGTTCTTCTCTTTCCCCCCACAAATCCCATTTAGAATGAGAAACCAAATCACAGTCCATTTGTGATTTGAGGGAGAATCTGGTCATTAATATCAATCTTTTAAGCAGTTGAATGTTCTTCATGATGTCAAATAAAGTTAACAGTCACTAGGATAATGGGAGAGGGTGTCTGTGTCCTAAACACATGATCATATAACAAGAAGTAAACTGTTAAAATACATTCATTCCCAATTACATACGATGGGCTTTCATGCAATATAATTTCATATGTGCCATATGATGTGTGCTTCTGATGATCTTCTCTCATAAACGGAATGTCCCCTGCGTGTTGGGACATCTGGGGTCTTTGTTTTCATACCTTTATATAACCCACCATCATGTTCTCACCTGTGCTGTTTGCTCACCTCGCTAAATAGCTCAGCGTTGGTCTTGGCCTTCACCAGTTGAGGGACATCCTGAGGCAGAGTGTAATTCAGCTTATTCTTCTCATAGTCAGCCCGGTAATTCACCTGTTGGATTAGAAACAAATCAGAAGAGGAACTGCAGGATTTTCCCACAGAAGAACAGAAGAAAAGCCTCGAGTAGCCCTGTCCTTTGGCTCAAGTGGAGAAAAAGCTTTGAGATTTTAGAAGGAACTTGTGGTTTTAGAAATGTTTAAAATAAATAGATAGCTCAGATAAAAAGTAAAACAATATAAAGACACCGTCAAAGCTATGAACTCACAAAAATCTTTCCTGTGACAAATTCTCCAGCTTCCCTTCCAAGCACTCCAGAGTCTATCTGGGTAAATGTTTACTCCCTGAAGTGCCACGCATCTTGCTACACCCTGAGTTAATATTCAAAGAGTTAATATCCGGTGACCACCTATCTCGACCAAAGTTACCTTAACTATCACACACACACAAACATGAGTGAGCTACACTGAGTTTCTGTTAATAGTGATAGTGGAAATGGATAGTGGTGATGGTTAGACGACATGATAAACAAAACTGATATCATATAATTATATATGCATAATTCAGTAAGTATATTGAACTGGCAAATGTTCTGTTATACGTATTTTTCATTCATGCACACGCATACCTAATCCATGAATTTTAAGAAAGGCATTGTGTGGTTTCTCTTGGAAAATTACAGCATTACTTGACAAGCAGTGTGGCCAAAAAAATTTCCAGATAAACCTGATAGAGTCTACAGATTTAAACACTATATTACAGGAAACACAGAAGTCAAAGGAGTATGTGAAATGTACTCTGTGATGCAATCAGCAAAACTTAGTCTGCAAGAACCTTTACAGAACAAATAACCCAGCTCCTTTAATCAATGACTTGAAGGAAAATCACAAAATAGATTCTAATAAAAACCTGAAAACAAATCATAACAGTATGAGGCATCTGAAATTATGAATTATGAAACAATTGGAATTGGGGATAAAAGGAATTATTGCCATATCTTTTGAAATTATATGTAAAAAAATTTACTTTTTTTTCATCTTTTAGGTACCAGTGCAGATATATTTACAGATGAAACTATATAATCCCTGGGATTTTTCTTCAAAATAGCATGGGAATGAAAGCAGATGAGTCTATGGGCTAAACAGGAGTTAATAACATTTGAAGCTACATAGGATCTGGTGGCATTTCATTGTGCTCCTGACTATGCTTTCAAATAGATTTCATATTCTTCATAATAAAATCCTTTAAAGGAGAGGGTGTCACTTATGAGTGTAGGAATTTTTCTTAAGATAAGTGTCACTGTTAATAAAAGGCAAACCTTTGGGGAACCTGTGTTCAGACGCTTCAAAGCATTTTCAAGACACCTTTATTTATATGGCTGGGCAGAGGTGGGTCACTTACTTGACTCAGTTGCTGGGCATTGATTTTGGCCTGAACAATCTGAGGAGTGCTGGTTACAGAGCTGTACTTCAGCTTGTCAATGCTCTGTCGGTAGTTGACCTGGGCAAACACAGACAGAAGAAGATGTCATTGGCACCCCGCCCTCCCTAAGCTTTCTTTTAGCTCTCTAGACCTAAAAGAGCAGTGCTATTCAAATTACTAGGGGGAAAAATGCAAAGATTCAGACTGGAAGACAACAGATACTTCAAGCCTACTGAGAGAAAAGCAGTACACCAAAGAGAGAAGTGACTGGAACAGGCAAGTGATGAGAAAGGTCGTCCAGATGGTCAGTAAGTACATGAAAAGGTTCTCGTCCATATGATTAGTCAGAGAAACACACATTAAAACTGCAGTGAGTCTGACTCATCGCAAACCCGTGTGAAACAGAACAAAACCCTGCCCAGTCCTTTATTTATTAATCAAGAAATGATTGTGATGAATAATTTGTTTGGAAGAGGTGGTTCAGTCATTTCAAAGTGAGGGTAAATTTATTTAACACTCCCTTAAGGTGGTTGGTTATAGCTAAGAAGTATTCATGACGTTTCTATTTGTTCTCCTCTATAAATGGATATATTTATAGCTCTGAGAATGTAGCTGTAGGAGACATAAAGGTTAATTGTATAACATAGTCAACAAAGAAAATGCTCTACATCCTACACTGATGAATAGCAACTAGGGTCTTGAAAGCTTGCAAGCGGCCATTTAAAATGCAACTACTGAACACTCTCCATCTGAAGAAGAGTGAGTAGAAAACACAATTAGTTCAGAGAACTATTGGACCGCTCAGATTTCAGCCTCCAGGGCTCTGAGACCAGAAGAAGTAGATAGTGCCCAACAACCACTGCTGATCACTCTAAATGGCATTACAATAAAGGACCCTGGCCGATTTGGAGATAACATGGGACAGCACTCAAAGTCATTAAAAAGACCAGGCTTGCACAAGTCGGTGGGTGGAAGGAGAGGGTGAAGGAAAAGGGAAGAATTGGGCTGGGACCTGAAAAATCAGGGTAGTGATTAATTTTATAAAACATAATGCATGGGAATGATTGTTTGAAACACAATGTGAATGAAAAATAGTGTGAAACACAATGTATATAAACTTTGTAAGCAAACCAAAAGAAAAGAAATGAAGAAAAAAAAAAAAGACCAGGTTTACTGGTCTATGGAGAGTGGAGAAGCCCCTGAGAGAAGCCCTTAGTCAACCTTTGAGCCTTGAACTGAATGCACCCCTGTGGCTCAAGGGTCACCTAAATAACAGAGAGACCTTTAAGGTGAACATGAACTCTAGAGAGGTATGTGCCTCTTGGAACAATCAATCTTGCAAGGTCTAAAGTATAGCAGTACACGAATAAAACTCAAAAAGCAGGAAGGAACAGGAAAGAAGGATGACTAGAAATAGAAAACAGGGAGCAGAGACTACTGTTACACGTGGGAAGTGCAATCTATGTCGCAAAACAACGTGTACATGAATTAAATGGAAAACCATGTTGCTCGGTAAAACTTACATGTAAATAACAATACTTTTCAAATTTTACATGACATTAAGGGGCAAATATAAATTGTCTTTGGAAGCAGGAGTGGCATTCACTTCTAAACAACATGCCTCCAAAAACTCTAAGAACTTGAATAGATGTTGATAGTTATAGAAAGGCTTCAGGCCTTTTGTTCATAAGGTCTCTATGAATCATGCTTGACTTGAAGGCAATCAACAACAACATAAATTATCTATACATTTTGGGTTTTGTAACCTGAAGACCAAGTGCTTTGCTTCAGTGAATTCATTTGTTCTTCTGAACCTCCCTGGGGTGCTGAATGTTTCATTATATTTTGGGAGAAAGGACAACATTCCTTTGTTTTGAGAAAAATGTTTTCATAGTCTAAGTTTTGGACATGGAGTCTGTAGGAAAAACTAGGAAATACAAAGTCATTTCAATGTCAACTCTTAATGAGATTAGAGTCCAGTGATTTATTGCATTAATTTAGAGGAAAGATTATCTCATAATAAAGAGTGTATTAGGATTCAGAACGAGGCGTGATAAAATGTGATGAAAACTGTATGTTTAAATGGCATTTTCCTTCCTGATAATTATGCATTAAGTCTACTGTAGAGCACAATTACTTTTCTCTGCAGGACATAATTAACAGTCCTCATGATTAATCAAATCTATGCAACTCTGCAAATGCTTGGTCATCACTTCAACCTACATTCCGAAGGGCCTCTTTACGGACAGTGGAGTCCTATTTTAATCTTACTAGTGTTTATACAAATCCATCCGAAGGGAATGCTTTCCAATTAAGGGTCTGCACTGGCTCATTCAGTTTTTTAGCCATTTGACCACTTTACATAAAGAAAAGTCACAAATGTTCTTGTAAACTCCATGACTACTAAAATCTCTGAAATGGTGAGGCAGCACTAGGTTTGATTCTGCTTCCTGTTAATTTTTATAATTCACTATCGCATCCACTTCCACAATAGCTTGCCTCCAGACACCCTATAAACCTGGAGAAAGGATGAAAAGTTATGCAAGTGTCCAGGTCTTTTGTTCATAGGATCGCTATGAGTCACCTACGACTCAACAGCACTTAACAACAACAACAACAACAACAACATAGTTCTTCTATCAGACTTTTCCAGAGGATGGCTAGATTTCAAGGTCATGGCTTGGTCCAGAGTCTTATGTAGATAAGTCATGTTATAATAGTATTACAGAGTTGTAGGAATCTACCCCAATTTGTTCATGCTAGTCAGTGTGGTTCATAGAATTCTATTACAAAAGTACATATTCAAGGAGGAGCTCTGGTGCCCTAGTGGCAAGAAGCTGCACTGTGATCCTGAAGGTGCACGGTTCGAATCTGCTAAATGCTCTGTTGGAGAAGGGGAGGCAATCTCCTCCTGTGACAGTCCAATAGGATCTGACAGTACACAATTACACCAAAGAAAAAAATAGAACAAGCCAAAAAACAGCCCCACCATAATACAAAAGCACATATTCACATTTGAACGAGGTACTCCTGAACTATGAGACTCCTGGGGAAGGTTTGCACTGAAGAAAGTAAATAGCTTTGGTCGTTGCTAAGTCTGACCTGGAGTCACACAAAAGCAAAACGAGTAAACCAATCCAACTAGCATTTCTGGTAAAAGCAGAAAAAATTTCTAGGCCCTTTATACACTTCTACTTCCCACTTTCCTGCATGTTTGTAACATCCTTTCATTCACTACATTGCCATTTGCCAGTGATTGTCTTTCATTGTGTTAATCACTTGAGTGGTAGTTGTGTGCCATCAGGTCAGAAACAACCTACAGCTGACCCGCCAGCAGGTTTTCAGAGGGAGTCAATTGCACAGGAGAATTCTCCCAAGGAGAGCTGATGGATTTGAACCACGTACCTCTGGGACTGGTTGCTGTGCAGGTTCTTACCACTAGGCCACCAGGACAGCTTCAGTCACTTGGGTGGTTGTTGTTATGTTCCATCAGTCTCTCCTGTGACCCATAGCGACCCTATGTACGTTAGCTCAGAACCCTGCCCTATCTCATTGTCTCAAACACACCTAATCCCATTTCTTCAGTTACGGAGTCAATCCATCTCACCTTTGGGTCTTTCCCTCCTGCCCTGTCCCTCCGCCCTTCTTAGTGTGATGTTCTTCTCCAAGGACTGGTCCTTCCTGGCCATGTGCCCCAAGTATTTGAGATGGAGCTTCAGAATCCTTGCCTCTAGGAAGCAGCCTGGTTTCACCTTCTACAGGACAGATCTGTTTGTTCCCCTGGCCATCCATAGTATGTTCAACATCCTTCACCAGCACTACAACCCAAAGGCATCGATCCTTCTTCTGTCATCTTCAGTCATTGTCCGGCTCTCTGATGCACAGCAAGTAATTGTGAAGACCATGGCCTGGATCAGGTGCACCTTAGTCTCCAGATTGACATTACTCCTTTTCAGTACGTCTAGAGAGGTCCCTGACAGCAGACTTTCCCATTGCAATTGGCCTTTTGATTTCATGACTGCTGGTGCCAAGAAAGTGGAACCGTGAGGGGAAATCATTAACAATCTCTTCTCAGTGTATCATGAAGCTGCCAATACTCAGCTGAATCCAAACTTGTTCCTACTTTCATGATGTTCACCACTTAGCAAAAGAAAGATGTGATGTCCTATCTACTAACAGTGGAAACCTAAGCCAATTACAAAGTAAATGAATAAAAGGTCTAACCTGCACATTTGATAAAGATTTGCTTAGTTTTCTAAATGGTTGGTTGGTGGGAGATAATCTTCACCATGAAGACACATGGACACAGGTTAGTTCTATACCACATTAAGTATTTTTAAGACAGCAGATGGTTTTGATCCTTTTTCTTTGTACTTTTCTGTATTTTATAATTTTTATCCAATAAACAGGTACCAAAAAATTGTAGTCAGAAAAGGATCAATTTAATTAATTGCATATATTTTGTTTTGAATAAGCCAAACTATAAATAAAATCACTGCTATAATATTTAAGGAATATATATTTTTTTCAAGTGTTTCTGAGGAAGCAAAAATACGTCAATGTTAACACTTCCCCTCAACTTACATCCATTTTCATATAAATAACTTTTTTAAAAAGAAAACAACTCATCATTGCAATGTATCAACTTTTTAAAGCAGATTCAACAGTATTCCCAAGAAATTCTAAACAGGTAAACAGAATTTGGGGGTATTTTGAAGATAAAAAAGAGTCTTCTGAATTGATTTTTCACATTGAAATCTTACAACCTTGCAACCATTCAAATGTGAGTGGCAGACTCTCTTTCTAGATCACTTCCATGTCCTCCAAGAGGTTATGTTTTGTTCTTTCCCTGTCTAAAGATTACTCCGCAGGAGGGATGTGAAAAATACCTAAGCAGGAAGACCTACAGGAAAATGACTTACATCTTTCAGGGGAACCAGTTTCATTGTGGTCTGATAGGAGGGAGTCAGAGTGGCTGGGTAGTTGTAGTCAACAACGTCGTGTTTATAATCAGCTTTGTAGGCAATCTGAAACCCAGAGAAGATAAGGAAAAAAGAAATGATGTCCCATACTTCCTTTGACTTGGTTTGAACATAGTAAGAAACCATTTAACAAAATTAAATGTAATTAATAAAAAATTATTATTCTATTAATTAATAGTTGAAACAAAATTCTGTTTCATCATCTCCAAGGAAAATTACAGTGTTCACACCTTTGCCTTTAATTAATTCAAATTCTTCTTAATTAATCCAAAATTAGTTAATTCCTATCTGTAGTATACTTTTTTAGGAAAAATCTTTCTTATTATGTAAGTCCTTATTGTTCTATTCAAAAAAGAAGCACTTGAACACAGGTATAAAATGATTAGTTTATTGGTTAATACTAAGAAAATAAATGAAATATCAAGTCTCCATATTCATTTTATTCTAAGTTTATATTGGAGGTTTTCAAGCAGATGGAATTTGGCATTTCTGTGCTTTTTTTCTTATGATGAAATCTGTTTCATTTAAGTGGGTATTTTTATCCCTAAGATTTAAATCCTGGCATTTGCAAGCCAATAAACTCAACTGATAAAAGCAAAGAGAAATGAACACAGGTTATATACCATGGGATAAACAAGAGCTTGAGCCATTTTGACCTTTATTCTGACCAGTGCCTGACCATATTAAATCTACAATTAATACTATAATGAAATAATTAATTAGTCAACCAATCAACAACTCCAAAGAAACTGCAAAACCTGTGGAAGCTTTAGGAATTTCCAGTACTACTCATATTCATCCATTTCTCTTTATCCTTAAAAAATGGAGATGTATAATTTCTCATCTCTCAGAACTGGAAATTTATACATCCAAGTATTTGTCCAAGAAATTAAGTAAGATTCTACTCTTGGTTTCACTGATTAGCATTTGGAAACTCATAAATCAGTCTTTGCATTGTAAAGCCTTGCTTTTTTAGAAATACGGGTATTGAAAAATAATTGACTAAATTCCTCATGCCCCACCCTTTTGCACCCCACCACATCCCAGGCCCTGTAGGACTTTGCACAAAAGACTTACGTTGCTTGCCAGATTTCTAACTTTCATAGCATGAAGAGTTCGTCTGTCCATACCAACTCCTTCATAGTGGCCTCGCATGTGGTTCTGGTAGTTTTCTTTATATTTATTCTACATGGAAAACACAAAACTTTCAACAAAAGCATTGTCTTTCCAATTAATTGAAGGTAAAATCTAAAGCATAAATGATTAAATAGAACCTATTTTAACTAACCAGTGTATTATGAGATTAAAAATAGAACATAAGCTTTTCTTTCTACAAAACAAGATAAATTTCAAGGAAGCATAAGAAATTAGAGGGAGACTAGAAAGCAAGCCCAAAAGAAAACCACGGAATCTGACAACCACAAATAGAGCGAGACAGACTTGACACTCTGGACTGTCTTCATTTGTAAATACAGCAGTCCTTTCTAAAGTGAGAATCACCTAAAAGCTGAGGAACCAAGAAACATCTGGTGCTGCCTGCAAGGAAGGAGCTGACAAGACAGAAACCCTAGTTTGGACTTTCAATTTTCAGAACTATGGGAAAACAAATTTCTGATCATTAAAGCCATCCCCTTGTGATATATGTGTTGCAACAGCAGCAGGACTCTAAGACATCTCTACAGGGAGAATATGCCAATGCAATTATGTTGAAATCACCTATCCTGCAAGATCATTGGGTTTCCAGTCACTGAGAACAGTTAAACAGAAAACTATTATTACTCTGCATTAGACACACTTCTACGTATCTCAGCTAATCCTCCCAGGACTTCTATAAGAGGAACCATTATCAGTCCCATGCTATACATTCTAGTATCAGCGAGACAGCTTATATAGCTTACTCAGCACTATCCAGTTGGCCAACTGGGGGACAAAGTCGACCTGTTCCAATACTGGTGTTCTTAATGGCTATATTTGTGCAAAATCAATTCCTCACTGAGTTTTAGGAGTCCCGTGCAATTTTAAATCCCATTATCATACGCAGCAGAGAGAAAGATGGGTAACCGAGGCCCGTGCTGGAGGGCCAGTTCCAACTTGATGGGGCTGAGTATGTCATGTGCAGCTAAACAGAAGTCAAATCATGCAATCTTATACAGGATACATCCTCACACCCTTTCAGAGAGCTCTCAAACTTGAAAATGCCACTCTAGCACACATCTGCTATCCTATAAGACGAGGCAGTTTCCATGTTCTTGCCGTGGTGAGTAACACTGCGATGAACACTGGTGTACATGTCCAACCACAATGGAATGGATTGAGAAATGATGGTGCATTCACATAATGGAATAATATGCAGCACGTAGAAGCAATGATTTTGTAAAATACTATCTAACTTGGGAGGGGCTGGAGAGCATTATGCTGAGTGAACGAACTCAGGCCCATAATTTCAAATACTGTGTAAGACCATTATAGTAGAATGTGTATGAAAATCCAGGTGGGGAGGGAGAGCAGAGGGATGAGGCTTAATTATAACGTCGCATAATTTGATGAGTGGAGGGAGGGGTAGGTAAAGGAAAGGGGAAAGATCTTGTGTGAAAAACAATGTATACTCACTTTGAAGTAAACTAGTGTAAAATAAAAAAATTTCTTTTAAAAAATAGGAGGCAATACTGCCTGGCTCCTCGGTGGCATGGGAATTAAATGAAATGGTGTTATTTTAAAAGCACAAAGCTACATGGGGTGGGGTGCTGCATGCTCAGCCGGGCTTAGTTGCCAGCATGCCATACTGACAGCCCTTTGCACACACAGAGGTGCAGGAAGGAGAGGATGCAAGGAGCCAAAGATGCAGAGATACAGATGGAAGGACATGCAGATGCAGAGATGGAAGAATACGTGGATGCAAAGATGCAAGGACAGACAGATGCAGAGAGAGGGATGGATAAATGGATGCTGAGATGCAGGGATGGAAGGTAGCAGGCCCTTCCCTGGGGATCCATGATCAAGTTTGGAGTAGGGAGGGGATGGGAGATCAGACAGAACTTGACACGCTGACGACTTGCCCCAGTCTTAAACAAAACTCATAGATGCCTGTATCTACGAAACCATGCATCTCCAAGATGCACAGTACATGCACATAGTCTGTGTTTGAGGAGACCTAGTCGTTAAACTCACAAAGATGCTCCAACAAATGCTTAGGTGGAACCACTCACGTCACTGGTGAAATGTGCGATCTTGCTCAAGTTCCTGAATTGAGGCGTTTCACAGTAGTTGATACTGTGGCCTTTACTACCTTCCAGATCCTTCTTATACTCCACCTTGGAAATCAAAACACCAGATGCCCAACAGACTCAAAACACAAAGTCATTCTAGAAAGGCCCCAAAGACTCAAGTAGGACTTGTCTAGGAAATTCTTCATTTGCGATTGTGAAATGCCAGTGCAATTTGCAACTGCTAGTGACAGTCCATGTTTTCATTTGTAATAATAAATAGGTTGGTTTTGAATACAAAATATACGTCCTTCTTTCCCAGAACAAAAGCTGTAAAATGTACTTATGAATGCCTGAGAACGGTATAGGGGACCACCTGACCTTCTGATGAGGTTCTGCCTTTTGAATCCCTTAAAAAAATTCATCCATTTGTACATATATGATTGTTGCTGTTGTTGTTAAGTGCTGTTGAGTCGCAGGTGATTCATAGCGACCCTATGAAAGAAAGACCTGGACACCTATATAACTTTCGTCCTTTCTCCAGGCTCATAGGGTTTCCAGAGGCAAGTTATTTTGGAAGTGGATGCCACTCCTGCTTCCAAGCTTGTTTTAATTGGGGAGCTTCACCAAACACTGTCCACCATGGGTAACCATTCTCGCTTTTGACTCATCAGTGTCACAGTACATGTACTTTTCTGTGTATGTGGTATAACGCAATAAAATGTAGCATAAACCAAACACTGTCCACCATGGGTAACTGTTCTTGCATTTGACTCATCAGTGTCACAGTACATGTATTTTTCTGTGTATGTGGTATAATGCAAAAAAATGTAGCATAAACATTTACTTTCTGAAAACCTGAAAGCCTAGTAGACTCCCACCCAGGGCATCCCTGGATGCGTCAGAGTAGAATCACACTCTGTCTTGTGTTCAGGGGCTAAATTCTTCTAGAGTAAACCACTGGGACTTTATTCCAGAGTGTCTCTATCTAGGCTCAAACCTCCACCCTTCTGGTTAACAACGGTGCGCATTAACTATATGTACCACCCAGGGATTCCAATTACACGCTAAGTCACCATCATTTGTTGCCCTTTTGCATCCTTCACACCCGCGGACGTTGCGTTAGGCCCGGATGCCGTAAAGGAGCACAGGAAATGAGACGACCCACCGATGCTCTGCTCTGTGTTCTAATTGAAGACAAGTCGGCTCCTCAGGCTCCCCCGGGTGGCTGGAGGAGGCCGTGAGGCTATCATTATGAAACAGACTCCAAGTCACCACAGGTAATTGGAGAAGGCAACTGAAGGCCAATTACCATTAATAGAGGTACAGCTCATTTGTCTTGCTCAATACGCACAAGGGCAATGAGAGACTGAAGACTCCCCGATGACCTTTTACCAAAAGAAATACAACTTAATTTGTTAGCATCGCTTATAAAATGTACACAGGAACATGCCTTTTAAGGTTTGCAAAATGTATTACATGCTTATAACCTGATACACTACGAAGGCAATTTATAAAACCGGATATACAGCTGAACTCTTACTTTATAACGTGTTCCACTCTTAAATGCATTTCTATCATAATCACATATAAAAAAGCTATAATGTTAACATTGGCTAACTGGTAAGCTTCCTGATACAGGATGTTGCTCTTAATGCTCTGGTCCCACTTCTGCCATTGAAAGCTTCTATGAATCAGAATAAGGCACGACGCTTTCCCAGGCCTATGACAAAGTAATGGCCTGAAGATAGATCCGCACTGTCCCATGGTGCTGTGACATTCTGTGAGGCTAGAGCAAGGGTCCCTAAGTTCTTTAAGTGCCCAGACAGTATTTTTTTACTTTGTGGGGCAAATTACTGGAGGCAATTATTCAATTATGCCTTTGTGGAAGCAGCCATTAAACATGAGAGCAATTGTCTATGACTGTCTTAGGAGAGCAACCAGAATGTTCCTCAGAGGTGAAGTTGCTGAGACCGCTTTGCATCCTCTGGACATGTTACCAGAGCGGCCAGTACCTGGAGACGGGCACTATGCTTGGTAAAAGGGCCTTAAGAAAAGAGGAAAATTCAACGGTATCAATTGTAAAAATAGAAGGGTAACTACTAAAACATGTATGGGGGGGGAACCCAAGAGGGGAAAGGGTGGCAGCAGAGGGGTGAGGATGGGTGAGGATGGGTAGGGGCAAAACCGTAGTATTGCACAGTTTGGTGGGTGGAGGGAGGGGGTGAAGGAAATGGGAAGGATGCAGGGGAGACCTGAAAAGATTGGGTAATGATGGCCAAGGCCAAATGGTGCTTGATTTTATAACTTAATGCATGGGACACAACGTGAATGAAGAACAGCGTCAAAGACAATGTATATGAACTTTGTGAGCAAACCAATATAAAATAAAATAATTTTTTAAAAAACCGAAGGAAAAAAACCCCTGTGGGTACAGAAAGGGGCTCAGAACATACACAACAGCCAATGGCTGTGTGATGGCACAAGAGGGGACATTCTGCTGTGCACAGCGTCACTAAGGCTGGGACTGATTCAATAGCACCTATCCACTACCACAACCGTATCTGGCTATAACAAACTAATGAATAGAGGCTGTGGTATATTCACACAATGGAATACTACGCTGCTTTGAAAAACAAAGAACTCATGAAATATTATACAAAATGGGTGATCCTGGAGGACATTATACTGACTAAAATATCTCAGTCACAAAAGGATAAATACTGCATAGTGCCACTGTTGTAAAATGGGACTGATATAAGGGTTGGGGAGAGACTGAGAAAAATGGCATAAATTATGAATACTGCATTGAAACAGATGAGGGAGAGAACTGTTTAAAAGGGATATATGATTAGGTATTATTGTCATGACAGGAGTCCAAAATGAAGGCTGCAGAGTGGAGTGGATTGGGTCAGGGGGAGAGACTTTATAACAATAAAAAAGTTTTCCTTTTACTTTTCAAAGAAGAGTGAACTGGGGGGTGGGGAGGAAGGCTGGGCAGGGAGAAAAGTGCAACAATGAGTGAAAGGAAATCCAAAGTCTTTGTAAACTTTCATTAAAATTAATTTTTTAAAAAGTTAATAAAAAAAAAGTTGGCCCATTCACGATTCTGGAAATTCATCTTTTGTCACATATGTATCTACAGCCCTGAGAGGAGTTTGGGAGACACTTTAGGAGTATCAGATAAAAAAATGGCTAAAAAAAAAAAATTCTACCCCTCTTATTGATTGCCTTCAGTCGCATATTCATTCTATGTAAATCAGTTGCCCATTATTTCTAGAATAGCTGCAGTGTTGCACTCTTAAATAGAATTTGCTGTCCTGGGACACCCCGATCACTGTCCCCAGGACACAAAAGGTGGCAGCAGACAGCACACACCTCGCTCACAAGCTTGTTCACGCTCTGGGCGCGCTGAAGAACCAAGTTGTCTCGGGCAGGAAGGGAATGGAAGTGCGCTGCACCCTTCATCTTGTTGAAGTCCTGCCTGTACTTAATCTGAAAGACACACAGAAAGGGTCCACCGTTGGTGTTTCCAAGTTCTGTGAGAGAAACAACTCCCACGCCAACCTGCGTTTAATGTCAGCATTAAAGACTTAATGGAATTTTCCACAGGCAAAAGTTTTATGGGGTTTTCCCCCTCCATTAAATCCCTAACTCTCTAAGTCTTTTGTATAGTAAATGTTTACTAAACCTTCCACTATGTTTTACACTTGACACTCTATCTTAAAGTAGTTGAGCACAAGGTACAATTTCCAACATAACTTGGCTTCGCTTTAACTTGGCATAACTTGGCAACATAACTTTCAGCGTTGCTCGTGGCCCAGACTGCTAAGGAAGGCTGAGGACTCATCCGTCTGTCCCTTCTGTTCTGGGGAAGAGCAAGCTGTAGTGGGTGCCCGGGTAGTAACTGCAGGGTAAGAGGGGCAAAGTGCGTGTACAGCCAGAAGCTGGCTTCTGATTTCAGAAAGGTTTGAGCTGGCATTTTCAGATCTGCCGTGCACACAGCATTGGTCTTTCATGTTATCAAAGTTTAACAACTGCCTACCTGTTAAGGGCTGCCAAGTAGCGAACAGTCTGCAAATAGGCATCGTTTATTCAACGGGGGCCCACCTGGCCTGATCATCCTGCAACTGGTTTTAGTCAGCTATTCCCCTGAAGTTCTTAATCTGCAGATTGGGCTGTTAAGCGGGCACTCCTCTCATCTCAGCATATCTGGGCCGGTATCAGCCCTTACCTCCACTGACCTCAAGTGGGTTGGGCTGGTTTTCACTTTCAGTATTTCTTGGAGAATGCATGACCAACGAAAGAACTGATGTCGAATATCTGGGCATGATGTAAGGCTAACTTTCTACTTTGGCTGGGCCGTATAAGTCTATCTGTGTGTAGCTCCCACAGACACAGTCACCATGTCCGATCTCGCAGTAATTGAGAGCAGGAACTCACTTGTGTTTTCATACTAATTTGTAGTGAGCAATGTCACATTTTTTTTTATTTTAGTGCATTAAAAATTCTGTCATTATGACACCTGTCTCTTCCACTGCACCTTCAAGGCCTTTTTCCTTTTTTTTCTGTTTTAAACTTTTATACATTTTTATTTAAGAGGTATCTCTTTGAGAGGAGTGAACTGGAGGGGCAGGTTGGGCAGGGAGAAAAGTGCTACAATGAATGAATGTAAATCCAGAATCTCTGTAAATGTTCATTAAAATTAATAAAAAAAAAGATATGTCTCTTTAAGAAACAAAAAATACCTAAAACAATGTATAGGAATGAAATATACTGTAAAGATATTATGATATGAAAATCAATTAAAAATATTTTAAAAGACACATGTAGTTTGGTTCTTTTTCTTTTTTAAAAAAAGCATATTCAAGCTCTAATTTTTAATTAGAACATTACTATACTGGCATTAACATGATCAAAGAGCTCAAGCTTATGGTTACTGTCTTCTTACTTGCTATTTCTTTTTCCTGGTTGTACAATATCAAGGCCTCTTTTCAAAGTGGCAATCCCTGATGGGGACGGAGCACCAGCAAGGCGAGCATCGACTTCTTCACTAATCTGAAGTCAAAAGTTCACAAGTTCAACAAACTACAGATTGCCTAGAGCATCACAAGCCACTGGACTCAGCCTTCATCCAAAGTCTCATGTCTCTCCCTCTGAGGCTCTGTGGTTCAGCCCTGCGCAGTACGGTACTTACATCGCTCACAAGTTCATTGGCTTTCTTGGCATTCTGATAAGCTGGGGTGATCATGGCTGGGAAGCTGCCCTTTCCCCTGTGTTCTTCAGATTCTTCTGAGTAACCCTGCAGAGTCATTAAAAATGTCAGTCAGTAACGTCCCCAGAAGCATCCCACTGAGTGGGGCACTAGCAAGGATTTCTTATAAAACTTGCTCCCATAAAAGACCCATTCACTCTGGATATGGTAGTGATCACTCTGGGAACAGTACAATGTGATAGTTAAGATGACAGACCACAGGAGTCAGGTCCACCTACTATAGTGCCCAGGAACCCAAAGGTACCTAATAAGTTTTAATAATGATGATAATATTGCCATCCCAGGGGAAAGATGGGCAATCTCCTCCCATGCAGTTTATCGCCTCTGAAATCCTGCAGGAGAGTCAGCTATGGGTTGGCTCAACCTGACATCACATCACAACATTATTGGCGGCATTATTGATTATTCCTGCAAGATAAATTAAGACTCTTTCCGGTTTTCCTGAGTCTGTTGGTAAGGTCATTGATACACTTGCTTACTAACTGAATGGTGAGGATCAAACCCACCCAGAGATACCTTGAATACCTTGAAAGGTGTGGGTAACAATTTACTTTGCAAACTCAGGCATTGAAAATAGTACAGAATGAGAGCTGCATGGTAGAATGGTCTGGGATGGGGGGTGGGTGGGGGTGTATAATAATGAAAGAATTTTTTTTTCTTTTCAAAGAGAAAAACCAACTGGAAGAAGGAGTGGGCAAGGAGGAAAATGTGCAACAATGAATGAATGGAAATCCAGAGTCTCTATAAACTTTCATTAGAATTTCAATTAAAAAAAAAACACAACACACCAAAAAGAAGAAAATCCTATGTAATATATTCCTACTCTAATCCACTCGGATTGGGATGAGTCAGAGCCAACTCACACCTGGCTTTTTAGGAAGTCTAGTGGTGCAGTGGTTAGGCGTTTAGCTGCTAACCAGAAGGACTGTGGTTCCCCCAGGAGGACAATGTGGCCGGCTGCTTCTACGCAGATTTACAGCCTACGAAACCCTGTGGACGAGTTCTCCTTTTTCCTGTGGGGTCACTCAAAGCAGGAACCTACTCGGTGGTATTGAGTTGGGGGTACACATTCCATACAATCCTACTTGGGAGCTCACTGCAAATACTGCATAGGGCCACTGTTGTAAAACAGGACTGACATCGGGGTTGAGGGAAGACAGAGAAGAATGGGAGGAATGATGTATATACTGCATTGAAATAGATGAGGGAGAGAGCCCATTAAAATGGATATATGATTAGGTATTATTGTCATGACAGGAGGCCAGAGTGAAGGCTACACAGGAGAGTGGACTGGGGGGAGGGATTGCATAACAATGAAAGAGTTTTTCTTTCACTCATCAAGGAGAAAAGTGAATTGGGGGGAGGGGGTGGGCAGAGAGAAAAGTGCAACTATGAATGACTGGAAACCCTAAGTCTCTGTAAACTTTCATCAAATTTAATTTTAAAAATAATAAATTTATTATTTGGTGTAGTTACTCATTAGGAAGACACATGAATTGTTCAGCATTCTAGGTACTTAAGAATTATTTATAGTTTGCCTGCCTGCCTCTCTCTCACTCCCTTCTGCTTACGCCTGGGGAGACGTGCCAACTTCTATAATAAGATATTATATTGGACTGAGTCCTCTCTGCAGCTGGTAACAGGGCTCTAAAACAACACCCACTTTGGTTCTTGTAGTTGTTATTAGCAGGAATTAAAAGAAATTGAAATTCTATCAAAATCTTATCATAATCAAGAGCCAACTATAAACTCTTAAGTTATGTTTCATCTATGCACATGGGCTGAGATTCGTATATAAAGTGTGTGTGTGTGTACACGCAGCACATAAGTATCTTAATTAGTGCTCAGGCATAGTACTGGCCCAGTGTTGTTGTTGCGTGTCGGTGAATCTGAACCGACTCATAGCTGACCCTCCACTGGGTTTTCAGGGGCAGTAAATCACACAGGAGGGGATTGTTCATCTTTCTCCTGTGGAGCAGCTGGTGGTTTCAAACCACGTGCCTTTGGAACTGCAGGGCAGGTTCTTACCACCAGGCCGCCATAGTACCCTGTCCCATAGGACCAGTCAAAATACAGGACAAACAAATGTGATCAAACAGTCCAAACAAAAAAGGTAGGCCTCAAAAACATCAACTCCAAGAAGGTCAGAACAGCCCAATACTTTTCAAAATAAAACAAATATTTTTTTTTTCTTTTTCATTTTCTTAGTGAAAGTTTAGAAAGCAAATCGATGTTTCATTCAGCTCTTCACACAGATTTTGTTTTATATTAATTACAATACTGGCAATATAATTGCATTCTTTCCACTTCTTCCCTGTATGTCTTTTTTCTATTAATCCAATCCTACTGCTTCCTGCCTTCTGGGATTTATCTTGTGAGAAATGCCAGGGGCAGGTGTGTGTGTGTGTGTGTGTGTTACACATTTGGTTATTGTAAAGGGTAAAGGTCTCCCTGGAGTTCCTGATCACCTTTCAGGCCTCTTTGGCTGAAAGTTAAACCATGGTGGTGAATTTCATTTCAGGCTTAAAGAGTGACATTAGGGCATAGTCTTGGAGGTCTTATGATTCTCTCTCAGACCAATTAAGACAGCCTTTCTTATCTTTGGAGTTTTGTTTCACATTTCCCCTCACTCTGTGTCAGATCTACTTCTGCGATTCAATTTTAGAGGGATCAGACTACATTTTGAAAGTTGACCTAAGCCTATGTCTTTAAAACATAAAAGCCAAAAGTCATAGTCACTAAGATAAATGACAAGAGATTATTTAATCATTTACCATATTATTTAACCAAATAACCTCTTTGATTACAAACTTACATATCTTCACACATACCTAATATTTATATGACGATATACCCAATAAAGATAATCCGCTTTTCTGAAGAAGAGAAATCTGTTATTTGTGGTTTCTTTTTATAATTATATATGTTATAGAATCTATAATTGTTCAATCAGGATCATAAATCAATTAAATTAATTGTGCTCTCTCAGCACACACATTTGCTCTTTCAACTACATGAAATTGTAGAAAAAGAATTCTTCAACCTTCCCTTTAACACGTAGCTAGTATCAGAAAATAGAGGGTCTGCAAACAGAAATTGGCCCACAAACGTCATGTCAATATTTTTATTCTCTGTGAAGATGTAGTTCGTTTGAGAAGTAAAATTAGGAAAGAGGTTTTCTTTTTCTGACATACTGCTTTATCTAGTAAACGTCACTTGCTAAAAAAATAACCCCCTGAACTAATTTCCAAGAAATTCATTTCCATCGCTTTCATGCTTAGTAACAAGCTAAATGCAGCCAGTTTTTAGTCCTTGAAACCAATTGTTAGTGAATAGTGGAGAATGCTATATTATTGGAAAATGTACCACATAGGTATAGATACTTAATTCTAAAAGAGTTCTGGGCATCTATTTTACTAAGTAGGTCAAGCTGAACTCTATGCAACTGTTCGTCCATTACTTGATGACTTGGAAGGCACCTTTCGTAACGAGGGAGGCCACAGCCTGACTTAAATAAGCTTGAGTTTCCAAACAGACCCGCCCAATGAAATGACTTCTCAGACGGTTAGCTCTGACAGCCCCTACCTGGCCATACTGGTCTACATACTCCTTCGTCATTGTGCCCGCAGCTCCAACAGCAGGCCCCGCTACTCCTTTCATTTCTTTCTGATACTGTTGATGGTACTTCACCTGTTTGGAGGGGAAGAATAAACCCAGTGAATGTATTCCCTGATGCACAGGGGCACAAAGGCAAGAAATGCACACATGGTGGAATGTTCTATTGTCTGCGACAAAAGTACTTCCTGGCTCTGGGATTCATACAGGTTGAGCTCCCTTGGCCCAGGTAACTTTTTACTCCGTCCCCTAAATGGACAACATCACCACGGACACATTACCAGGGACACTTACATCACTCGCCAGCTCATTGGCTTTTTTGGCTATCTGATAGGCAGGCGTGATCATAGCAGGAAAACTGCCTTTTCCTCTCTGCCATTCATACTCCTCTGCATATCTCGCCTGGAAAATGGGAGGGGGAAAAAATCAATCATTTTGTCACCACCCTACTTTGTACCAGGCAGTCTGAGTGAGTTGTCTGTGAAGATCACCTTGCACATCCTTCATGGTACCTTCTCTGACTTAAAATAGGTGCTCGTATATGTGAATCCCCCACAGTACACTTTATTGGTGGGAATGGGACTTGGTGTGCCATCTCTACCTTCTTATTGCCAGTACCTAGCACAGTGCCTGGCGTGTGGATACACTTACTGTAGAGTTCAACAAATCTAGCACACACTAGAAAGCAGAACTGTGTAAAGTAATAAGCTTCCTGCTCAAATTACACCCCTTCAGGTCTGAGGGGAAATAAAGACATTTTCAACACTATCTCTGAACCAAGACAAGTGAAAGCCTCTTACTAAGCTAATTCTGGATCTGCACCAAAGCTCCTCACTCAAACAATATGAGTAGGGGCAAAACCACACGGTTGTACAATTTGGTGGGTGGAGGGAGGTGGTGGAGGAAACGGGAAGGATCTGGCAGGGACCTGAAAAGACAGGACAATGATGGTCATGGTCCAATGGTGATTCATTTTATAAAACATAATGCGTGGGAATGCTTGTATGAAACACTATGTGAATGAAGAATACTGTGAAATACAATGTGTACAAACTTTGTAAGCAAACCAATCTAATTTTTTTAAAAAAAAGAATAACCAAAAAACCCACAATGTAGGGAATGATTATGTGAAACACAATGTGAATGAAGGAAAGTATGAAACACAATGTATTTGAATTTTGTATGCAAACTAATATAAATGTTTTTTTTAATTAAAAAGAAAACTCCAACAGGGTGGAATCCACCTTCTTATTATACTATGAAGCATCTAGGCTATAGAAGACAAGCAGTGAAAACCTCTTAGTAATTATGTTCTTCAGGCTCTGACGGCAAGAAGAGAGATGCCCTCCAGTTTCATCAGATACATCTGACTTGGCATTAACGTAACCTAAAATATTGGGCCTAAAGAATTTTTATGGAACGACATCACAAAAGATGGCAGAGTAGGCAGAACTCAGCTCCTCACCGACAAGTGAGCTGGCAAGAACAGTCTGAAAAACTATCTTGAGATGTTCATCTAGAGGATAACCTAATTAGGATAAAAACAAAAGGGGGGAAATATGGGAAGCCAATACTAAATATTTGTAATAAACTGAATGCTATTTAAATTAAAAAAAATCTAAAAAAACAACACCAAAAACAACAACAACAAAAAACCCCCATCTTGAGCTCTGCAGGGTCCAGGAAAGAGCTTGATGAGTAAAGAGGCCGGTGAGTGTCAGCATTTTGTAGTTTCTTTAGAAAGAAAGAATTACATTCAACAATTGTAATTCTCACCCTCAGACAAAAATCAGATTGGCCTATAGAAAGAACAGATCAATAAGTGTTCTTTTCCTTTCCTCTCAGAAGTATATGCCTCTTTATTAAAATCAGTGATATTTTTTAAAGAGTTCTATATTCAGCAAAGCTATACTTCAAAAAGAGAAGGGAAAATTAACACATTCTCAGATAAGCAAACAAATAAGGGAGTCTGTTACTAGTAGGGGTTCCCTACAAAAAAGTACCGAAGGAAGTTTTTCAGGCTAAAGTGAAAGAACACTAGACAGTAACAAAAAGCCATATAAAGAAATAAAGATCACAGATAAAGATAAATACAAGCAAATAGAAAGTTAGTGTGTAACTACTCTCTTACTTAGTGGGTTTTTTTTTCTTTATATGTCTTAAAGATAAATGCATAAAACAATAATTTTAAATCCAAGATAACACACAACATTTAAAATGTAATTTGGGGCTATAATAATATGTAGGTGGGAAAAGTTTGATAGAAGCAGAGTTAGTGGTCTGTTGAAGCTAAGTTCCTATTAGCTCCCACTAGATTATTATAAATGTAAGATACACTCTTAGTGGAAGCTACTAAAACAACCAAGAATAAACGGGAGGGGGGAAGTAAACAGTACAATAGGGGAAGTCAGACAAACGGAAAAGAAGGTAGTAATGGAGGAATTGAGAGGCACTAAGCAACAGATGTACTAAATTAAAATAGCAGAAACAAATTTTTCCATGTCAGTATCACTTTAAATGTAATGTGATTAAACTCACCAATTAAAAGAAAGAGATTTGCAGGATCAATTTTTAAAAAAACCCCAAAAACCAAATAAACCCATGGATGCAGCTCTGTGCTGCTGACAAGACTCATTTTTCTTCCTCCTAATTAAGCAAATAGTTTGGAAGTGAAATCATAGAGAAAGATAATCCACGCAAAGAAATGTATGGCTACTCCAATACAAAATACAAAAGAGACTACGTAAAAAACTGTTAGACTAGACGGTGAAGGCCATTATACATTGATAAAAGGGCCAGTTCATCAAAAAAAGATATATCAATTGTAAATACATGCACAGCTTGGCAAGAAAAAGAAATGTAAAGCATATAAATCAGAAAAGAAACAATAATATGAATGGGACGTGATAAGCGCATGGGTATGAGGTATTTTATGAGATAATGACAATAATTTCTCAATCCATTCATTTGTGGTTAGACATTTGGGTTGTTTCCATGTTCTTGTGATGGTGAATAATGCTGCTATGAACACTGGTGTACAAATTTCAGTTTGTGTCTCAGTTCTCATATTCTCAGGGTATATTTCGAGTAGTGGAATAGCTGGGTCATATGGAATTTCTATGTTCAGCTTTTTAAGGAAGCACCAAACTTCCTTCCAGAATTATTTCCTAACCTGGGAGGGACTGGAGAGCATTATGCTGAGTGAACTCAGTCCCACAAGGATAAATATTGTATAAGACCATTATTGTAGGACGAGTATAAGGGTCCAGGAGGGGTGGGAGAGGCTGGAAACGAGGGGTGTGGATGTGCAGGGGGAAGGGGAGATTAATCATTGGGTGGTACCATTTGATGGGTGAAGGGGTGATGGAAGTGGAAGGAATTAGTTTTAATTTGTATTAGGATTTTGTAAATAAACTAATGAGAAGGGGGAAAAGTCAACTTGGGGAGGAGGAAGGGAGAGAGAGGGGGTAAAATGTGCAACAATGAATGAATGAAAATCTAACTTTTCTGTAAACTTTTGTTAAAATGACAATTAAATTTTTTTTATTTAAAAAAATGAGATAATGGCATTTTATGGGTTGATGAATAAATAAGGGGGCATCTGTACCCTACAACAATTGCCTCTACATTGTCCCATTCTTTGCCTCCAGGTAAGTAAAGAAGGACTTTTAAATGACAGTCCCCAGGTCTGGGCTTCCTTCATTTCTTACTTGGCTCTGAAGCTGTGCTCCAGCCGTTGCCCGCAGCAGCTCAGGGGTATCAGCCACCGTGGTGAACCTGGAGATGCGCTCATCATGCCCTCTCTTGTATTCCACCTGGTGAAGAGACAGTGGAGAGTCGAGCATGAAGGCTGGCCCATCTCACAGCCCCCAGAGAGGACCTCTCCTTACGGCTCTCTCGAAGGGGAGAAGTCACTACCAGGTTACCTCAACCCAATACCTGTGGTGAACCTCCTACAGCCTGCTCTAGGAAACCAGCCTCCAAAAGCATAGATGCAAACGTGTTAAAGTAGAGAGGCTGCCAAACAATGAAAAACAGTAACAAATCTTCAATAACTTCATTATCACAATAGTCACCAGAGATAGAACTGTCTTCCCTCCCCAACTCCCCTCCACAGTACAAATGAGAAGCTGTAAAGCAGAAAGGTTGTCTTTTGGCCAAGATCACATAGCTAGTAAGCAGCTGGAAGTAGCTAGTAAATGGGTAAGGTTGGGATTTCAAATCCAGCAGTCTGGCTCCAGAATCTGTGGTCCACACTTCCAAGTTCCGCGGTTGTTCATCCAGCTCAGTGTTCTTAATGCTCAACCAACCTCAAGGAAATATTTGGTCTAGTTTTAGAGAGAGCTACATGGTCTTTATAGACGTGACCCAAGCAAAGCATGGAGAAGGACTGATGAAGTGAGGATAAAAACACAAGTTTCCCCCATAGTAATGCATCAACAGCACTTACTGCCTTTAGTAAAGATGTACTGGTGGCATAGCACAATCATGTCAGGCTGCTGAGCAACCCTAAGGCCAGCAGTTCTAATCCACCAGGTACTCGGTGGGAGAAAGATGGGCAGTCTCCATCTGGGAAGAGTTACTCCCTTGGAAGCTGATAAAGGGTTTCTAAGAGTTGGAATCAATTTGACGGCACTTGGAATCACTCTAAAGTTACTCTGTGTTTTTCCCAATTCATTACACACACATACACACACTCGCCGATCAAAGGCGGCAAGCGTCAGGACACTCACCTGGCTGGCCAGCTGGTTGGCTCTCTTGGCCCTTTGATAAGCAGGTGTGATCATGGCTGGAAAGCTCCCTTTTCCCTTCTGTTCCTCATAGTCTTCTGTATATTCCTGCTGGTCAGAACCAACATCAGAACGAGAGGTACTCACGTATAATCCAAGAAAAAAACTGAGAACTAAAATTGCAATCACAAGCATAAGAATCAATGGAATTGGTGTTTCGTGGTACTTGGAAATTATTTCAATCATTTGAAATAACTTTGAAAATGTTTTTCAACCAGTAATCTAAATAGAGTTAGCAACATTAATGAAACCATACTACCAGGTCAAAGGAACTTGCCCTCCATTACTAACACCGAATTGGGTGAGCCTGAGGACAATCTGAGGAGGGCCAAAAGCTTGAATGATGACATAACATTTAATACACAACAGAATTTTCCTTTTGACATAATTCTACAGCATTGAGTAACGTCTGCTAAGTTGCTTTCCCTACTGGGTGAGGCATCTCTCTGAAATCGGTTAGCATAATCAGGTACCTCACTTGAGCATTGGTGTTTCTAGTTTTGTTTGTGTGGGTGTTTGGGGTTTTGTTTGTTTGTTTGTTTGTTTTTTCATGTATTCTAAAGAAATAGTCACTAAAGGGTAGGACTATTTTTTCAAAGTAGGTGTGGTGGATGTGGAGAAGACTAGAGGGATACTATTGCAGGTAGCTAAGGATTTCCACAATCCAGGATAAATTTCCTTTCCTACAATAAAGCCTACAAAAGTCTCCAGAATAAAAGAACATTCAAAACTAATTTTTAAAGCATTTTTTAAGGAAACTTACCTCACCAAGAGACTTGCGTGCCTCAACCATCCTTACAATATCAGGGTCTGGCAGAGTCCCAGGGCACCACGTCGTAGTCCCTTCCCCATATCCTGTCCAATAGGGTCTCTACAAAGGAAGCACATAAACTTTAAAACACACACTCTACACATTTGATTGGTAAAGCCTCATACCTACCCACGTATATTGTCAATATATAAAATAGAAGTTCTCTAAAAATGTTATAACTCCTACTGGTGTATAGAGGGTTTTGACTAATCATCTAACTATCCACACTAGAAAATGAACTAACATCGCCAAAACTGGAATCTTCTGAGATTTAAGTATAGCAAAGAAGTAAGAAAGGAAGTTGCTCTCTCTATGAAAGAGGAGATTTCAGATTACTCAGTATTATTCACACAAGCTCCAAAAACCCATTTTACTTTGACAAATACATAGAAACAACCCAAAAGTCCATCAATGGACAAATGGTTATAGAAACTACGGTACATCACACAGTGGAGTACTATGCAACACTGAAGAACAAACTCCCTAAAAAAATTCTAAAGCCTGCATAAGTCTAGAGGACATCATACTGAGTCATAATCCAGAAATACAAATAGTGTATAAGTTCTAGAAATAGTGTATCAGTTTCATAAATACAAATAGTGTATAATACCACTATTATAAAAAGCTAAAATAAAGTTTATACACAGAACCATTCTTGAATGGTCGCAGAGGAGAGTAAAATTTAACTGATAATAGATAGTAAGATGAATAAAGGGAAAGCCAATATACAATAAAGGGAGAGTCAGACATTGTGACTATTATAATATTGTAAAATAAAATATGCATGATTGCTTGCTAAACCAACCTGCTTTTCTAAACTTTTACTCAGAGCACAATTAGGAAAAAAAAAAAGACTCTGAAAAACGAAACCAAACTTACAATTATATACTTAATATTAGGTTAAACAGACATTACTGAGACAAGAAAAACTGGAGGACAATGATGCTATTTATGTTACTCAAGATCTGTCTGGTGAGATAAAACTAACATGTGAAACAAATAGTCCCTAGAACCATCTGAGTGCTTAGACGCATGTGCTGCTGATGCAGACATTGGAAGGCTTTCAAATGCACCTGTATGAGGTGGACCCTGTCACTGGCAGGAAAATGGAATTGAGGTTGGGCCACTTGGGCTGAGGTCAATTGCTTGAGACCACAGGACAAAGGGCATCATGCTCAGAGGTTAGATTCATGCATGCAGGGATTTCATCTGTTTTGTCCATTAAGGTATCCCAGAAACTTGCACACATAGTCCTGACACATAGTCTACTCAAAACATACTGATTGACCTAAGTAAATACACTAAGTTGTCTAAATGTCTCCTTGAAAAGATGGCGAGAAGCTGCCCTGACTGGAACCGAGGGCAACACTAGGGGAGCAAGGAGATGATGGAGATGGCTGAGCTGGATAGTTGAGAGACAGCTGACCTGTGGGAATCTGCATGACTACAGCCTTCAGTAGGGATTACACCTGAATATAAAGCAGAATCTTCACAACCTGACCAACAAGCAGTATCGTGATAAAGGAACAAAGGATTGATACTGTAAAGGATTTTGTTTTGCTTGGACCCACAATCCACACTTACGTTGTTGTTATGTTTGCTGTCAAGTCAGAACCGTCCCATAGCTGACCCTCCAACAGGTTTTTGGAGGCAGTAATTGAATGGAGAAACAAAGTTATACAAGTGTTCAGGTCTTTCGTTCCTAGGCTTGCTATGAGTCGCCTATGACTCGATGGCATTTAACAACAACAACGTAGAGAGAGCTCATGTGGCTTCATGGACAGAAAGTGATGCTCCCAAGCCAAAGGTGGGTGATTTTAATCTGAGTCCCTCAGGCCTGCTTTTAATTGTTTTTGATCAAACATCCTTCTAGGTGATGTAGCACTGGTCTGTTGATTTGCTGTACAGAGGTAACTTGTGGTTGCTGTTATGCTGAACACTATGACCCTGATGTGACAAATGCAATATTGGTCACCCATGGTGGACAGTGTTTGGTGGAACTCCCCGATTAAAACAAGCCTGGAAGCAGGAGTGGCATCCACTTCTGAAATAGCTTGCCTCCAGAAACCCTATGAACTTGGAGAAACGAAGAAAGTTATACAAGTTTTCCAAGTCTTTTGTTTATAGGGTCATTATGAGTCACCTACATCTTGATGGCATTTAACCACAATTGCTTGGGAGGAGATTACCCATCCTACTCCTGTAGAGCAGTTTGGGATTCTGTGTGTCTTTGGGACTATGGCCCCACTTTGTACCACTAGGCCAATCAGTTCCCCTATGGAAGCAGCAATTAAGAAACAAAACAGTGTATTGCGTAGGAGAAATCTGCTATCAAAGGCCTCTTTAATCTGTTAAAAGCAAAGATGTAACTTTGAGGACTAAGGTGGGCTTGACCCAGGTTATGAGTTTCAATTGCCTTATATGCTATTCCTGGGAGAGGAACATCTTTCTTGGAAAGGTGGAGGGATGGAGAAAGAGAGGAAGACCCTCAACCAGGTGGATTGACACAGTGACTGTGTAAATCAGCTTGAGGGTGTCAGAGATTGGGAGGATGGCACAGGAAAGGACAGGAGGACAGGGTTCAGATCTGTTGTTCATAGGATCACTATGAATCATATTCGACTTAAAGGCATCCAACAACAGCAATATATGCACGGGAGAGCTAAATAATGCATGAGAAGACTGAAGAACAACTGAAGCCTTTGGATTATGACTGATGAAGGATATTAAATGCACTATGAACTACCAGAATAACAAATAATCTTCAAAAATTTATAGCCCTAATGCTTTTTAGAAGAGAAGACAATGAGAGTCTTGTCTCACATTCTCTGGTCATATTATCAGGAAGACTAGTTCCTGAGGAAGGACTTCATGGTTGGTAGAACAGAGGGTCACCAAAAAAGAGGAAGATTTCACTGTATGTATTGACATAGTAGTTGCAAAATGGGCTGAGAAAGTCCACTGAGATAATGGGGGGGGGGTGCTGGGGGTGGTGGAGGGGGGCAGTAACTTCCTCTGTTGTGCATGAGGTTGAGGTTGCTAGGGGTCAGGACTGGCTCCTAACAGTAACAACACTCACCCTAAGATCGTTCTGCACGGCTCCTCTTTTAACCATTACAGTCAACTCAGCTCAAAAACTCATTGCCAATACTAAATATTTGTCATAAACCGAAGGTTAGAATGCTATCAGGATGTCGGGGAGGTGAGGTACAAGCTAGAGTTCACCCTGAGGCACTAAGGCAATCCTTCAATGTTTACTTGATTCTTTCTTTGTATTTGCTGACCCCTCCTTCCTGAGTCTGCAGGAAGGTCTTCAATAGAAGGAGCTTGGCTTCATTTGCATTGAATTCTTTGGAATTTACTTCCTGATAATTTTCAATAGAGATGCAGGGAAGCTGGAATGGAAGTCTTCCCGTTGAGAACTGCAGGCCCCCTGTTTTTCATGCTCTCTGCTCTATCACAAAACAACAACAACAAAAAAACAGAACCCAACTCATTACCTTCAAGTAGGAACCACCCCACAGCTGACCCTCCAGCAGGTTTTCTCAGGCTGTGAATTGCACTGAAGATCGTCTGTCTTTCTCCCAAGGAGCTGCTGGCTCCTTGAATTGCCAGAGAGGGGCCTCCTTTGTGTGAGTGGTACAAACTCCCTACACAACGCACCCCTAATAGTCACAGCAGCACTGTGATTCCAGCTCCTTACCACGCGGCCACCAGAGTCCATCACAGCAGCTCTGCAAATTTGGGATTATTTGAAATCCACTCTGCACATAAGTAAACTGAGGCAGAAAGTCATTTGGTAACTTATTTAGAGTTCTTCAATAAGTGGCCAGTAATAAATATAAATGTGAATATATGTATGTATATAATAAATATAAATGTGAATATATGTATGTATATGTGTGTGTGTGTGTGTGTGTGTGTGTATATATATATATAATGCAGGGATATGTGTGTGTATATGTATATACATATACATCATGCTTGGGAGGGTGGAGGGACAGCACAGGAGGGTAAGACCCTCTATGAGGTGGATTGATTCAGTGACTGGGGTAATCGGGATGGGTGTGTCAGAGGCAGTGCAATTGGCACAGGATAGAGCAGGGTTTAGGGCTGTTGTACATAGGGTCGCTATGAGTCGCAAATGACTCGACGGCACATAACAAAAACAGATA